AGCCATTGAATTATACCCTTAAAGATGGTAAATTTTCTCTATGGCCATACCACCCTGGACGCGCCCGATCTTGTCTGATCTCGGAAGCTAAGCAGGGTCAGGCCTGGTTAGTACTTGGATGGGAGACCGCCTGGGAATACCGGGTGCTGTAGGCTAAAAAAAAAAAAAAACAAAAAAAAAAAGATGGTAAATTTTATGGATGTAAATTTTACCTAAGGAAAAAAAATTCAAATTTTTGGGCCAGGGATTTAGTTCAGTAGTTTAAGCACCTATCTAGCAAGCATGAGGTTGTGAATTCTATCCCCGGTACCAAAAATAAATAAATAAATATTTTAAAAGTTCAAATTGTATGACCAAAATGCCCTCTCAAAATACTGTCCTAATTTAACTTCCAACAACAGTGTAGGATACCTGTTTTTGCACATCCTTTCCAACAGTGGATGCTATCAGTTATTTAAATATTTTTGTGTTAATCTAATAGAAAAATCGATTTTAGAAAAATTTGTTTTTGTTTGATTCCCATCAGAGTGAGGCATCTTTTCACAGATTTATTAGCCATTTGTGTTTCTTTTCTCTGTGAACCAACTATTTGTGAACTGGTCCTTTTTCTGCTGTGGATTTGTTTTTTTTTTTTGTACTGGGAATCAAACTCATGACCTTGAGCTTGCCAGGCAGGCACTGTGCTGCTGAGCTGTATCCCTAGTCCTCTTGTATTGTTTGTATTTCCTGTCTGACTTACAGGAACTCCATTTATTATGGATATCAGACTTTTGTCCATTTTTACATGAGGCTTGTAAATTTTTTCCTTTCTATGTTTGTTGTGACTTTTAGAATGACTTTGCCAACTATTATTTTTACACATACTTTCTATTTTGTTCTGGTATTTTTATGGCTTTTCATTTATAGGTTTAACCCTTTAATCCATCTGGGATTTAGTGACTGTATGTGGTAGGGATCTATAATCTGTATACATACTAAACAAATCCTATTCAAAGCATTTGACCTAATTTTTTATACATATAAACAGAAGAAATTACTTAGTATCCAGAAGGAGCCTCCATTTAACTTGTGAATTAACTGTAAGGGCTGGCTGTGGTTCAGTGGTAGAGTGCTTGCCTAGCATGTTTGAGGCTTTGGCTTCCATCCCCAGGAGCACAGAAAGAGAGAAAAGGAAAAAAAAAAAAAAAAAAAAAAGGAAAAGAAAAAGAAAATTGAGTCCAAGAGTCCTTTAACTGGTAAACTCCCTTCTTGAATTGAAATTTAATTTGTTCATATGAGGGGTAGATCCAGATTTTGTGAGGCCTGGAATTTATTAATTTAGGAGCTTCTTTTTAATGCAGAAATACCAAATTATGAGTATAAAATTAGGCACAGGCCCATGCAAGTGCAGAGACTTGAAATCTAAGCTTCCTCACAGTAACGATGCCCTGGATATATTATCAGAATGTGTCTGTTACATAAAAGGATGAGGAATAGCCGTCTCCATCTGTGGAGTGGTCTGCCTTTCTTTATATTTACCACTGCCACAACCTTCAAATCTTTTTTTCTTCCTTTATTTTTTTTAAAGAGACATTTAAGAGGAGACACATACCTCAAGGTGGCTTTAATGTTGTAAGTGGAGTTAGTCCAATGGAGAAGTTCTTTGAGCAGAGTCTTCGCTATCTCTGCATTGCTCAAATGTAATATATTTGATCAGTGGAGTAGCTAGGTGCTTGGTATAATTTAATAATGGGGATCATTAATCTTGGAAGCCTTGGAAGCCTGAATTTACAACTTTAACTTTGCATATCTGCTTACTTTTGCATTAAAGTTTGGTCAGCATTGTTAAAAGGTTTGCAAATGCAACCAAGGGGGCTTTTGCATCCTACCTCTCTAAAAACTAGGGAAGCGGGGCTGGGGATTTATCTCAGCGGCATAAGCGCCTGCCTTGCAAGAGGCAGTCATGAGTTCGATCCCTGGTACCGATAAAAACGAAAAAGACAAAAAAGAAAAAAAAAAAAAAAAACTAGGGAAGCAAACAGTGACCAAGGTCATCCCAAATAAGGCAGAGGATTCCAATATAATAATTATAGCTGACTTTTACCAGGAGACAGACAGTACCCCAGAGCTCCCACTTCAAGAACTTCAGATCTAGTGCTCTCATCTGACAAACATAAAAACAGACTGGGAGATCTTTTGATATCTGGTTGTATATGTTGGACATCATTTTTTAAAACTTTGCATGTATTTTTTCATTTAACCCCTAGAAGAGTCCTATAAGTTAATTGCTATTATCCCCATTTTACAGAAGAGAAAACTGAGACCCAAAATGTACAAGGTCACACTGCTATTAAGTAAAAAGAGCTGGAGTAGAACCTTGAGCAATCCACCCAAGAGTCTCCTTCTTGAGCTCTGCAGCTGCTTACCCCCAGATGCATGGTAAAGATCTGTACACTTAGGACCTAGTCCATCTCCAGGCCTTCCAGAACTAGAGAGAAATCAGAGCCACCTCTACTTTGGTTATGCTTTTCTAGTGTTGGGAATTGTTTTTGAGACATGGTCTTGCTATGTAGTTTAGGTTGGCCTTCAACTCACTGTGTAGCCAGTCTGGCCTGGAACTCATGGTGACCCTCCTGCCTCAGCCTCCCAAGTGCTGGGATTACCGGAGTGTGTCCCCATGCCCAGCCAGTATTGGGAACTGAACTCAGGACCTTTCTTGTGCTAAACAGGTGCTCTGCCACTGAGCCACCTCCTAACCTCCTAGATTTTTGAATATGGAAATACCTAGACGGGGTTACAAAAACTTGTGGCATATTTAAAATTTTAAACTTGACAAATTCCTTTACCATCAAGAAATCATCTATTTTAAAGATAATTATGACGTTCATAAGAGATATTAATTCACAGAGTTTTTATCATCCGATTGGTAAGAGAATGAGGTAGTTTTTCTTTTTTTTTTTTTTTTTTTTGAACGTTTGACTGTTTTATTCACAAAATATAAGCAAGACTTACAGTCCTTTTCTGTTGAAACTTTTCTCTCCCAATAATTTGACAAGGAGCCCCCTGAATGTATCAAGTATAAAACATGTTAAAATGAAAAATTTTTTAAATTTACAAATACAAAGCAGTATTTTATACAAGAGCCCTATAAAGTTCATCAATGTTTTAAAAAATACTTTCAACTGAATTTAAAACATGTTCAGTTTATGTTAGTTTGTAGACAGTTTTTCTTTTTAAGAGTAAGAAGGGGCTGGGGATTTAGTGCAGGGGCACAACAGCTGCCTGGAAAACTTGAAGTCCTGAATTCAATTCTGGTACCAAAAAAAAAAAAAAGAGTAGAAAGAATTTATTAAGAGAAACAGAAGGGGTCCCAGAACGTGGGTTGGCCACCAATCCCAGTTCTCAAGAGCGTTTCACTGAGTAAAGCCATAAAGTGAGGCGGGTTCAAGGTGGGACAGAACTATAATCAGTCAATAAGATTACAAGTGTAGTCGCTTAGGTAATATTGATCCAGTGGGAAGTCACTAGGTGGGTACGAGGTGGGACAAAACTATGGTCAGCCAATAAGATTACAACAAGTGTAGTCCTCTGGGTTAATCATCAATGAGGATCAAGTGAGGAAACAAGTCATGTAGCAAGAGCACATGGAATTGACAAGGACTTTCCTGGAAGGGGTGGGGAGGCACAATTTAAAGTGGATGGTAAATCTCCTTTGAATCCTGTGTCTGGCATGGTGGACAAGTTCATTTGGAGAACAAACCACAAGCTTATTGTTTTGGCAGTAAGAGGGTGACCCAATTTGTTGGGAATAGAACCAACAGCCTTGTGCTTGACCTGTCTTTTGTTTTTCCCATATTGGTGGCTAAAAGGATAAATGTTTTATAGGTGATTATACTAAAATACCAATCTTCCTTTTTTTTAACAAAAAGAAAAGCCATTGAATCAGTGCTGATTGATAAAAACACAGACTTTGATTTTATACATTGTGCATCACAGTTAGTCTCTTCAAACACTTTTCCTTTTCTCCCTCATGGTGCTAGAGATAAACCCAGTGCTTTGCCTGAGGCACATCCCCAGCCTCATTCATTCTTTCTTTTCTTTCTCTTCCTTCCTTCCTTCCTTCCTTCCTTCCTTCCTTCCTTCCTTCCTTCTTTTTGTGAGACAAAGTCTCACTGTGTAGTTTACTGGCCTTGAACTCATATGTATTCCAGGATGGCCTCAAATTCACATCAGTCCTTTTGCCTTAGCCTCCTTGAGTGATGGGATTATAGACGCGTGCCACCACACCTGGCACCATTCTTTCATTTTTGATGATTTTCTCGTTAGAACTAAGTTTTCTAGGAAAAAAAGGAGTCACTTTTACAGTTAAAGAACGGGCTTCTAAGTCATTGTCCCTGGAAGAACAAATTTAAGTGCAGATACCATTTCCAGCCCTGCTAGTGACTTACTCTGCTGCTTTTGCAGAGCCAGTTAACCTTCCTTTGTCTGCACAATAGAAATGGTAGTGTTGACATCAGATTTTTCTAAAGCAATTTTCAAAACTATGAGTGAAGGGTATTAAAAATATTGCCTGCATTCTTCCTGGCTCCCACCTAGTAATCCAGCTCCAATTACCAGCTGCTTAGAAGCATTTGTAGGTAAGACTCTTATCAATCTTTGTTAATCAGAACTTTCTCTCACAGTTGTGTTTGTTATTTCCATTCAAAAGCTAATGTTTTGGAAGTGACTGCTTTTTTTGAGGGTTAGAAAACATGACTACATTTCCATACAAATATCATATTCTTATTACCACATCACCCATCCATGCTTTAGGCATTCTGCAACTCCTTCGTAGATATAATCAGCTTTGTATTTTCATTGAAGGATAACAGACCAGCAAGGCTTAAATCTTGACTTGTCATCAGAATTGAATTGCTCTCCAGAGCAGGGAGGAGCGGGGGAGGGGATGAGACCCAGTTGAGCCTCCTTCAGAAGTGGCAGTAGTTTAGGGTCTCAATCGCCTGTTCTCCTTTCTTTTCCAGTATGGTGACTACGACCCCTCTCTACACAAACTGGGATTTTTGGCCCAAGAGGAATTGCTTCCAAAAAGGGTAAGAAATTAAATTTTGGGGGAAAACATAGCAGAGATGTGATCCAAAACAAACTAACTGAAGGACTTTAAGAAATGTTAGAAGTACTTTACAAGCATATTTTCATAAGCATTTTGTAATAAACCTTGAGTAAAGGAGATGAGATCTTTGTTAAGCATATTGAAAAGCAAAGGCTCCTGGAGTTAACGTGGAGTTGCCAGGATGAGCATGGCCTGTCAGTATTTCTATAGTGTGGTGATTTCTTTAAAGGTGATTGAGTGGCATTGATTCCCAGGGAGGTGTGTGGAGTGGTGTGTGTTCAGCCCAGGGAATTGAGCTGTTTGCAGCAGCAAGGGGTGGATAGAGGAGAAGAGGCAGGGTTGAGCCTTATGATTTTTAATCCTCAGCTTTGTTCATCTTGTTCATTAGCCACAGCAGCAGGCCCTCCCTCCCGTTTGCTGCTTCTGATTTTATTGCTCCAGTCATCTGTCACTGGGTAATAAAGACCTGTTCTTCTCCTCTCCTTGCCTTTACCTATCCTTTGAGGGCTTCTTTGAAGGGGAAGGCCATGGGGCAGAGAGCACTGCTCCACTGCCGGAGGTGGTCTCTGGAATGTACAGCTCAGTCAAGAAAGGGGGGTCGCTGCCAGCTCAGGGGTACACCCAGGCCAGAGGACTCCTGCAGTTTCCAGGTTGCTCCTTCAGTTGAATGGTGCTTGTTTACACACCCACCTCTGTGTGTGACTCTCTCCCTGTGTGCGGCTTTTCAAAAATAGCTTGGCTGTTTTGTAAAAATGATGCATAATTATAAAAATGGCAAACAATACCCAAACTTACTTTGTGTGTGGGTTTTTTTTATTTTGCTCTCTTTTGGGTAGGTAATAAATCTGTATCAGATGACTCCGGAAATGTGGGAGGAAAGAATTACTGCCTGGTATGCAGGGCACCGAGGCCGAGCCAGGTGAGGCTGCTTCATCCTTGGTTTACTGTTCTTTATGGGCCTTTTTTTCCCCCGTTGCCTTAAAGAACTACAAAAGTAGGACATGCTTGTTGAACAAAATGCAGTACTGAAATATATAAAAGAAAGAGAGAGAACTGGTAGTAATGTTGGTCTTCAGTTTCATGTATGTTATTTTTCGAGGGCATTAATATAAAATGGACAAGTGTACTGCCTGTCAGGATACACAAACCTATTGTAACTACTGCTAATTTAATTTTAAGAATTCTATTTGTATGGCTAGCCCACTGCTTTTGTATCCATTCCTCTATTGCTGACATTTGTATCTGTAGGTTTTTCACTTTTATGAAAAGTTGTGTAGCGCCCAATCTCACATTGTTTCACAATTTTATGACCAAGGGTCTGAGGGTGGATTCTTTAAGGAGAGCTGTTGATCCAAGCATGTGAGCATTTTGTGTTTTGAGAGTTGCCACCAAATTGGCCTCCAAAAGGTTGTATCTGTTGGCACTTGTCCATCAGCAGTGTTGTAAGAGTGTCTTCCCCATCCCAGTCTATCATCAGTGTTTGTTTTTGTTACTCTATAATTTTTGTAGGCTAAAAAGTCAGCATTCATTTCTTAGGTTATTAGCATTCCCCCAATGGCTTTAGGAATTGATCGTCTTTGCATTAGCTTTAAATTTTTTTCTCAAGTCAATTTCCTACCATATGATTTTTCTTTAACTTAAAAAAAATTATAACTGCACATCAAAATGTAGACAAATCATAAGTATACTACTTAATCAGCTGTCACAAAATGAAACAACACATAACCCTCAAGGAAGAAATAGCTCATGATCCTCTCCCTGCCACCTTTCTCCCCAAAAGTAGTGAGTCTCCTGCTTTTTAATACCATAGGTATTACCCATTTTATTTTATTTTTGCAGTGCTGGGGAGCAAATTTAGGTACTCACACATACTAGGCAAGTATTTTAAACTCCAGATAAATAAAATCAGTTTCTATTTTTTTGTGCCTTGCTTCTTTTATTCAGCATCCTATTATGAGATTTCAGTTTCTGACATATGACATGTTTTCTCATTTTCATGGAGAGTTCTACTGTATTAATATACCACAAATTATTTATTCATTCTACTACTGAAGGACACTTAGGTTATTCAGTTGTCTCCTGGTTTCTGCTGTTACAGTAATGTCAAACTGTTCCCCAAAGTAATTGTACCAATTTACATTAGCAGTGTGTGCGATTTCTGGTTCCTCTACCTGCTTGCCAACACTTGGCATTCTCTCAGGGTGAATTTTTAAAATCCATCTGAGAGCATTTTGAGATCAGAGACAAAATGAAAAGGACAAGGTCATAGGAAGGCTTGAGTTAAAATATTTTAGTACTATTACCTGTTTGGGAGTTTTCTGCAAGTCACTGCTGTTTCAAGAGCTAACTTACTTGGCTAATTGATTGGTTGCAAGGGCTGGAACCCAAGGCATCACATATGCTAACACACTGTCTACACTGAGCTGTACTCTTTGCTTCAAGAGCTTACATTTAATTTGACTTATAAATTGGTGACCTGGGTTGAGTTTTGCAGTTCTGATGCCCCCATCCTAACTTTCAGCGATACTCCAAGAAATTAAATCAGGAAAATAGCTGACAGGTAACTGTCAGGAGAGGAGAATTGTTCAGTACTGAAACCTAGGTTAAGATATTACACGGACAGCTGGGTGTAGTGGCTCATGCCTGTAGTCTCAGCACTTGGGAAGCTGAGGCAGAAGGATCACTGTAAGTTCAAGGCCAGCCTGTGCTGCGTAGCAAGACCCTGTTTCAAAAGTAAAATCTAAAACAAATTAGATAGATAGATAGATATTAGATAGTAGAAATTACACAAAGAAAAGACAACTTAAAATTTGAACACCCACTCCCATTTGAGTGTAGAAGATAACATACATATATATTGCTTTCTTTTATCTGAGGTGCTGTAGATTCAACCCAGTGCCGTGCACATGCCAGGCAAGTGCTGTACTACTGAGCTAGCTATTCCTCCAGTCCCCGTGTACTTTTCTTGAATCATTTGAGACAGGTATCACTATTTACCAAGGGCAAAGTGTGAAACTGAAGCCAAGAGACAGCATAATGAATCTGTTTTCTTATTTTTATGGGAATGGGAAATTCTGCTTGTGTCTAATAGACCCGAGTTTGGGAAGTGCTTTGCCAGCGTTCGCTCAGGCTCATGTCTTCTGCAGGTGTCAGGGGCTTAGGAGAATGTCAGGGTCGGAATGCTCTGTTTGGCAGGTATCTGCTCCCCATCTTTGTCACTTAACTCTGGTGACAGTGTTTTCCATTCTCCTCACAGGGATGAAGCTGAAATGGAGTATTTGAAGATAGCGCAGGATCTGGAAATGTACGGTGTGAACTACTTTGCAATCCGGGTGTGTTGAAATATTTTAGTACTAGTAAACTGGCCTCCCTGGTTCCCTGGCTAGCAAACAGACATAGAACGAGGGCCAGCTGGCCAAATTGGGTTACCTTTCATCCCAAGGTATAGAGTCTTTGTGGTTCAGTGATATAGAAGACAAAAGGAAGGGAGAGGGGATTCGTTTTCTATTTTTGGACTTCAAATTAGACCATAGGTAATTAAGTGTCAGTTGAACCTGGAGGGGACTTCGGCATCTTGCTCTCGGCAGAAACCTGTTAGAATATTGGGCTTTTAACATTTGATTATTTCAGGCTTTGTGAGATCTAGGGAGAACTTGGAAATAACTGTCCCTCCCCAGGGTCTATGGAGAGTAAAGCTTCCTTTATTGATTACTGATTTGTTTGGGTGGGATTCGTGTTCTCACTATGAGGCTAATTGGTTTTCTTTTCAGACCATTAATGGCCTGCTGTCCTCTGGGAACCCATTGCTTCTGCAGAGAGGCATTTGTGTTCAGCTCATGTCTGCCCCTTTAGCGTATCTTTCTCCCGTGGGTGGGTTTAGTTGCTGGATGTTGTATATAAGCATCTTCCTCCAAAGGAATAAGCACAATGTGCAGAAGCATTTCATGGCTGGTAAAATGATTGGCCACAGTTGTCCACCTTTCTGAGCACAGTTATGCTTTCCTTTCCTTTTTAATGCTCTTACAACTTTTTACATTAAATTTGGGTAAACTGAAACGTTTTCAACATTCTAGAATAGCTTTCCACTTAATTTGTTCACTTTTTATATACAAATATAGTGGAACTTTAGTTTATGAATGTTCTTGTTTTACAGTTTTGGGAAAGATAGCTTTGTTTGTATGGCCATGGTCTTGTTTGTCAGCAAATGGAAGTTTGTGAACAGAAGCAAAACTTTAGAGAAAGCTTTGGTTTGTGAACTGAATTGTTTGCAAATAGAAGCATTCCTAAGCCAAGATATTACTGTATTTATGGATTACTTTGCATAAAAATATAGTCAGATGTTATTTCATATAGTAAACAAGTTGCTAAAAGATGTTACATAATAATGCAGAAGGTTTTTAAAGTTTTGTAATTGTTTTGTTTCTTTAAATTCAGACTAATTTAACACATTTCTGTTTTGTCTGCCTAATTCCTCTTCCCCAACTTGCTATCACCTAGATTCTAGAAAACTAGAGTTTTATAATCCTTAGAAGGACAAAAACAAACAAACAAAAAACCCGGTTTCTTATTAAAGAATATTTTACATGTACTATATTGAACAATAGACAAAGTTAAAGAGGATTGTAATGGCTTTTATGTTAGAGGTTTTGGAATTCCAGCATTAACTAAGGAAGATATATGCTTACAACAAGTTTTTAAATTTACATTTTACACTAATACATAAATACATAAAATTGTACATATTAGTAGGGTGCCATATGATTAAAGCAGTTAAAAAGGGTTGCTTAAAACCCCTTTACCCGTTTAATCTCTAGAAATGTCAGGGTTGTAATGATAGAAGACAGAGGGAAAAATACCCTCTTTTTAAAAAAAGTTTAAACTAAAGTACAATGAAATGTTTTGTTTTCTAAAATATTCTCTACGAAAATACCAAGCCTCATTTCTATTAACACAGTAGTTTTAAGCACTTTGCAGATAAGCAGAAGACTCTCAGGGCTTGGTGATAGTGTCTGACTTTAGGTGTTAGGAGGCATAAAGAAATTTATCCTGGAGTGTTTGCTTCTCCATCTGACACCTGCTGTTCGACTGGCACAGATGAAGCACCTTTTTCTGTTTATGGATCTGTTTTCCTACCCTTGAGTCTTGGTTCAATTTTCTTGTTGTCAGCAGGGCGTTAGGACACATACCCTCATGTGGGGCGTCTCCTCTCACCATAAAACAAAGGCTAGATTGTGGGGCTGGCAGAGGACCTGTCCATGAGGCTGTGACCCTGGTCTATAGCTGAGTTAGTGATGTGGGGTCCACAGCACTTACTCCTGACTGCTGGCCAGAAACGCTGTCAGAGGCATAGCATACATGTAGTCTTACCACTGTTTTAAAAAGCTTTGCTGAGGTTCAAATTGTATAAAATTCATTTTGATATATTTTTCCAATGTTTAATTATTAAATATTTCAAACATACAGGAAAATTAGGAATTTTTCAGTGAATGACCATGTTATCAGATGCTGCAGTTAATATTTAATATATTGAAGTATGTAGTTATATTGAAGTATGAAGTATGTAGTAAAACTACATTAAGACTGTATTGTAACCTAAACCTGTGACCATCTAGTCACACTTAAAATTTTCTTCTTTCTTTCATTTGTTGTTGTTGTTGTTGTTGAGGTGTTGGGGAACAAACCCAAGGTCTTTACTACACTAGACAAGTGGTTTACCACTAAGCAACACCCCCAGCACCCAACCACCTTTCTTTTAACATTAGAAATGCTTAAACTTACAGGATTTAACTATGTCTGTGATAACCTGATTATTTCATTAGAGGTAATAACACTTAGATTACCCTTCCTTTAGCCACCAAGCCAGTGACAGAAGTCCCCAGTGACCCTTGCAGGTAACAACACAAGTTACAAGAATGGTGCAGTTTTGCCTCAGCCTGTCCCAGTTCTGAAAGCTAGAAGCCTCCCAGGTCACAAGACAGCTGTGATTTCTGTTGGGACCTGTTGAAATTTGTCAGATGTAACTGTGTGCCAGGCTCTTTGGACGGTTGAACAAAATCTCCAGCCAAAGCTGACTGTGGCTGCTCTTTATTGACTCTACAGAATAAAAAGGGCACAGAGCTGCTGCTTGGAGTAGATGCTCTGGGACTTCACATCTATGACCCTGAGAACAGGCTGACCCCCAAGATCTCCTTCCCGTGGAATGAAATCAGAAACATTTCATACAGCGACAAGGAGGTAGGACATGTGTGTACTGCAGATACTGCTGGTGGACCCAAGGGCCCAGCGAAAGGTCTTTTCCCGTCTCTCTCCCTAGCTAGAGCTTCCCTAGCCAGGCCAGCTCCTTGTTATCTGTAAAAGTCCCTTAAATCCCAGGCTTTGAGACTTTGATTGTTGATTTTTAAAATATTTACAGAACAGTATTGGCATCCTTTTTTCAAAGTGCATTGTTAAGCCCCACTATTGACTAACAAAAAACTGAAAGGCTTAGCATGTCAAGAGGTAAACCCTATAGAACAATAAAAAAGACAAAAAGAACATTTTCTTACTGCTTGACTTTCTATTTTTGGTAGTAAATTCTCTGTATTTTAAATGTGGTCTCTACCGAGCTTTCTTGTATGTACAGCTTGAACATGTGGGAAAACACGCTTGTATGTGCACAAACACAAACCCGTGTGTGTGGCTTTTTCAGCAGTAATGAATAAGTATATTGTACTACATGCTCACAAGAATTTGAAAGTAATTGAGTTTGAGTAATTTAGATCAACACTTGTAGAATTCAAGTATTTCCCTGTATAAGAAGACTTTCCCAAATTCATAGTCCTATGTTTATTCATTTATTATTTTTTTAAATGGTGCTAAGCCTTGCATATAATAGATAATTACTCTAACCACTGAGCTATACCCTAGCCCTTATGCATTTGTTTTAAAGGAATTACTGGGCTTTGTGCTAGAGTTCATAGGGTAAGTTACAGTCAAGTAATAACTTGACTGCTATGGTGAGTAAATGCAGTGGAAGAGGATGATGATGGTGAGGAGGAAGAGAGAATGCTTTCACTTACAAGCACTTTTGCCCTTTATTTAATCCTTGTAAGAATCTTACTGCAAAGGCAATGGTATTTATGAGGAAGTAGAGATGCAGAGGAATCCAGAGACTTGCATTTGATAAATGAAATACGAGGAGCTGGGAACCAAGGGTGGCTGATATCCATCCTGGTTTTCTGGGAGGGCCAGAGGTTTGACCCTGAGAACACAAAGCAATAGGCACAGAGAGACAGATCTAGACTGCTCAGTGCCTTGCTGATACCACATTCAATGTACAGAGTGGACAGTGAATAACAAAGATAGCTTATATTGTTGCCTGTAGGGCTCAAAGCCCTAAACAGATTTCCTATTTTCCCTTTTTTCATAGAAACTCAAGGGAAGGAACACCAGGCCCTGGTGTTCATGATTAAGATCTATGCAGCCATTCTTGATAAAGACAATCGAGCTTCTTAATTCCAAACATTTTGACTTAGAAGTTTTTAAAGTAGGTAGCACAGGAGATAAGCATTAGGTAGTTCTTTTTATAAAGTACCTGCATTAAAGCCTTGCGTGACTATAGATGGGCCACAGTGTGATAGTTTTTCATCTCCCAATTTCATAAAGTCTGTTTACTGCACAACACACATCTGCACATGAAAAGCTCCCCAAACACTCATTTTTCAGAGAATCCAAGGATTAAAGTCTCCCCTTGTATGACCTGACACAACAAACTCTAATCTGCTCTCTCCAGGGGCAAGGTACCATCATCTTCTATCATGTCAGTAACTCATGCAGAAGGCAGACCCCCAAACTGCCTTGGCATAATAGGAAGTAGTCTTGGTAGTTATGCAAGACAGCTGTGCTGTCAAAACAGAAGTGTTAGTTTATTTTAAGTTATCCATTGATTCTTTGTGTATGTCCTGGCATAGCACGGAGCCTGTGGTTTCCCTACTCCTTGTGGTTTCCCACTGACAGCTCTGGGGTTTGACAGCAAGGCCAGAAATAAGCTCATGAAATTCATAAATAGCAGCCTATACAAGAGCACTGCTGCTTCTAAGTTAACTTGGCCAAAAGCTGAACAAAGGATCGTTTTCTGTCCTCAGTGTGCTAATCCCTTGTCGGACAATCTGACATGTGAATGAAATACCCAAAGGTTTATCTTTTTCAACATATTTATATCTGCTAAGCCTGTCATTTTGTTTATTTGGTATTCTGGGTTTTGAAGGGGCGAGGTTGTGGTGCTGAGGATCAGACTCAAGGCTTTATCCATGCTAAACATGTGCTCCCCCACTGAGCTATCCCAAGTACAGTGATTCTTTTTCTTTGAGTTTAGGGATGGTTAAGCAAATCTTTCCTAGGAATGGATCTGCCCCATCTTGCCCCAAGTTGGGTTTTGAATCCAGGGCCTTTTCACTGAACTACATCTGCAGCCCTTTTTATTTTTTATTTTGAGAGAGAGTCTTGCTAAGACACTTAAGTTTCCTGGGCTGGGGTCAAACTTGGAATCTTCTTGCCTAAGCCACCTAGAGCGCTGGCATCACAGGTGTGCACCACTATGCCCAGTTTCAATATGCTTCCTTCTCTCGCTTTTTTTTAATATCACAAAAAATATTTGCCACACATCATAATTACATCATTTGGGGGAATTGACACATGCATATCTTGATTACTTCCTTACCCTCTTCCACATCACTAGGATGCCTTCTTTTTAAGTGCACTCTAGGATCTGTCTTGGACTGCATGTTCTGTTAGGTCCCCTCAGTAGTGGCAGAGTGGTGATCACGTTTCTTCTTTCTAGGCTTTCCTGCTAGGAGTCTGGCCCTGGCTTCTCCTGCTGAGTTCCCATTCTGTCTCTGTCGTTCATCTTTCTCTGCACTTTGATTTCAGGATGTTTTTCTCTTCTACAGCAACCCATTTTTATTTATGTTTTATTCATACTATTAACAGTTTTTATCAAATCATCCCACGATTAGAGACTGTAGCCACTGCTTATATTCTGTCATATTAAATCTAAACTCTTGTCTTTTACTCCTCACTGTCACCCCTTGGCCCACGCTTGTCTCCTCCCAATCTGTATCATTAGCACCAAAAAGCTAATAACATCAAACACACACACATGCATGCGCACACAAGCTCTGCCCCTTTCCCGATCTCTACCTGATTGCTACTGCTTGCCCACTCTAGAATGCCCTCCTGCATTTTAACTGTGCTGTCATGGTCTTTCCTTCACCCTCTCTTGCTTTTGCAGTGCTAGGAATGGAACCCAAGGCTCTAGGCATGTGAGCAAGCACTTCACCACTGAGCTGTACTCATCCCTTGTCATACTCATCTAACACCAGCTCTAGTCCCCTTCTACTTGTGCTGGGTCTACTCTAAACATTTATGATTGACATTTGTGTTGTGTACCACCAGTAAGACAGTAATGTATTGTTTCATTTTGTGAGTACTTGACTATTGTTAGTCTATTCTTTTTTTTTTTTGGTACTGGGAATTGAACTCAGGCCACTTGCCAGGCAGGTGTTTATGCTGCTGAGCTGTATCCCAGACTGACTATTGTTAGTCTAGTTCTTATGAGATTATGAGCTTCTTGAAGGCAGGAGCTGTACTTTCTTAGACTGTGTGGCCCTCCAAGTGCTGGCTGCAAGGATAGACCCATCATAGGTTCTGATTTCAAGTTAGCACACATTCCTTCCTTACAGCTACCCAAGACAGTTTAGGATCCTAAACCTCTACAGCCTCAGACCCGGTGCCCTCAGACACTCCTAATTCATAGACTTTGTGCTTGGGCAGCAGGGAGCCAGGACGAGGCACTCTTAGCCTGTGTGTGCCCCCCCCCGTGGTTGCTGCTGTTGTGGAATTTCCCACTTAGTGATAGCAGTGTAGGTTGTCACAGTGAAACCATTTTCTGCTTTCTTCTTTCAGTTTACTATTAAGCCACTGGATAAGAAAATTGATGTCTTCAAATTTAACTCCTCAAAGCTTCGAGTTAATAAGCTGGTAAGTTGAGATTCTGCGTTTCATTAGTGATAAGTATAGCTTTTCTGAAAAATTGAGTGCTGGCTTTTTAAAGAATATCAAAGTGACATCTTTTTCCTTTTCTCTTCTTGTCGTATTGGGGATTGAACCAAGGCCTTGCATGTGATAGTCAGGTGCTCGACCACTGAGCTACACCCCTCGCCCTATTTATCTATCTGGATTTGTTGTTATTGTTTGCATTTTTTCCTCTTTTCTTTTCTTTTTGGTTTGTTTATTTTTCTTTTTTATTTTTATTTAGTTTTTGTTGCCAAGGACTAAACCCAGGGACTCACACTTGCTGAGCAAAATTCCATGTCCTGTCTATTTGTACTGTGGATTGAACTGAGGTCCTTCACACTGAGCTATATCCTCAGCCCTTTTTTAGTTTTTTACCTTGAAACTGGGTCTTGCTAAACCTATGCTGGACTCCAAGTTGTAATCCTCCTGCTTCAGCCTCCCAGAGTACTGAGACTGCAGGTGTACACAAGGTGGGCCTCAAATTTATCATTCTTAGTTTCCCGAGAAGCTGGGATTTTAGGTGTACACCGCCATGCCTGGCTTCAAAGTGATATATTATTGCTGTAACTCATGTGTTACTGCTTAAACTATAGACTCAAACCTAAATTCTTTCCCCCATGTTGGGAACTGAATCCAAGGCTTCATGCATCCCAGGAAAATCTTCTACCATTGAGCTACAGCCTCCGCCCTTCTTGTCATATTAATTTACATTTTTATGACTAATGAAATTGAACATCCTTTTTTTCTTAAATTTTACTACTGGTGATTAAACCCAGGGTCTCACATTGAGCTACGTTCCCAGGCTTTTTTTTTAATCTTGAGATGCGGAGTGTAATATTGCCCATTTGAGACTTGAACTTACGGCCCTTGTGCCTAAACCTCCTGAAGAGCTGGGGTTAAAGCCCTGAGCAATTCGATCTGACAGTCTGACCATCTTTAAATACACTTATTGGCCAATCTTATTTCCTGTCTGTTTAATACTTGTGTCATGTCTTTTGGCTGTTATCCTCTTGCATTTTTAATTTTTTTCTTTATTGGTTATATCTTCTCCCAATGTACAGTTTGTTTTTCCTTTTATAATTTATGAGAAGCGTACATTTTAAAAATTTTAATGTGAACAAATATAAAAGTCTTCTTAAACCATTTGTACTTTTTGTGTCTTGGTATCTTTCCTTTTCCTATGATTATAAAGATACTCTTCTATATTTGCTAATAAAAGTTTCAAGAGTTTCATCTTTGTATTAAAGTCTTTAATTCTGGAGTCCATTTTTGTGTATGGTGTGAGAAAGGGATCCAACTTACTTTTTTCTAACCTACATTACTAAATGAGCTTCCCTGTTCTCCTTGATCTACAGAGCCACATCTTGACTTAAGAGAGTATGATGCATCTGGAAGACATGATAAAATGTCTTCTATTCCTCTCTTCACAAGTGACTTTTACTTCCCAGCTTATCTTCATTTTGCATGTCTCCTGAGCTCAGAGCATTAGAGGCTGTCAGTAGGGTTTTGGTATTTTACTCCTGTTCCTTCGTCAGCTTTACTGCTACCCAAAAGAGGCCAAGATGCTGTAGCATGGATTGGACTAAGAAGCAGCAAAGCATATTTGTGAGTTTAACATTTCTCCTGCTTCTGTGGTCACAGATTCTCCAGCTTTGTATTGGGAACCATGACCTATTTATGAGGAGAAGGAAAGCTGATTCTTTGGAAGTTCAGCAGATGAAAGCGCAGGCCAGGGAGGAAAAGGCTAGAAAACAGGTAAGCAGTACCTCGTTTTGGCTGATGATGTCCCCTGCCTGCTTGGTCAGTTGTGGCCTAGGAAGGAAGAGTGGTTGTGGGCTAGTAGGAGTCATTTTGTCATGGCCATCCCTACTGTTACTTTATCCTGTTGGATCTTTACTAGCTGATATCCAGCTGGTGGGATATTAACTCTGAAAATGAGCAATAAATTTTAATTACATATCTAAAAGAAACATCTCTAGTTATGTGTACACTTAAATGAAGTTAAGTGTGATTAACACAAGTTTGAAATGTGGTGACCAAGTATGCTTTCGTCTTTCCATACACTTAGCTATCTTTCTTTTTGCATGCCTCCTTTACCCGGCCTTTTCCTTTTCTAATTAGATGGTGATGGAATAGATGGCGGCATTTCAGGCATGGCTCGCTGCTGGAATGCTAATTAGACTCAGGCCACTCTTCCTCACTGCGGGTCAGGCTGGGCACGCACCACCTGCTGTGGGAGGTGCCTGGAGCACCTGTCAGCTGACTGGAAGAGCTACATCATTGTTTTCTACTCATAGACCTGCTTTACTCACCAAAATCCACACACCTAATTTGGACCTCGCTGCTGGGAATATCAATTGTGTTTTTGGATGAACTGCTAGATGGAGTAATGGCAAGCTGCCCTTAAGACTTGCAAGCTCAGAGGTGTAATAATTAGTTTGTATGCTCTGCCTGATTTGGGTACCCTGTAGAGGCTGACTTCCAGCCCTGGCATTTAGAGTGAAATGCCCAGTTTGATCTGGTCAGCCATCAGCTCTCCGTCTCTTTGTTTTCTGGGACAGTGGATGTGCTCTTTGGGTGCTTTGGGATGATGGGATTGGTTTTATTGGAAACAGAAACGCTAAGTGAACCAGTATGGGGTCATAGTGGCAACTTCAAGAAGAGCTCTCTTTGACCTCTTTCTTAGTATGGCAAAGCTTAGAACTGAGAGATCTAAAATTGTCAAGAAGCATGCAGGCCTCTGGGTCTTGGTAAAGAATAGCTGAAAGCTCCCCAAGCCTGCACTCAGCTTGCCCTATAGAGGCAATGCCTATGGCATGTGAGCAAATAGAGGTCAGGGACTTCATGGCCCAGTAGCACAGTGACCACTTAGCTAGATCTGACACTAAGTATGCGACTCAGTTTTCTCATCTATCAAGTGGCACTAATAATACCTTTTTGTCTCAAATCAGAAGACCTATTGTGCCTGAAACATGGGTCATTCTTGTTGTAGGCAATAAACTGCTTCACAGATATAAAAGCCTTTATTATTGGGGTCAGATCTCAGAAAGTATAGCACTGGGAACTGAAGGGGGCTGCCTGGGGCTTTTTTTCAAGAGGTGAATAATAGAGATGGAAATAATATAATGGAAATTAGGAAGCAAATTGACCGAGCATTTCATTGACCTGCAGGAAAAGCAGAGAATTTACAGTATTTTATTGCTTGTCTGTGCATTGTTCTTTAATGTTCTGATGCATATTTTTTTTTTTTGGCTTTGTATTTAGAAAAAGTAGTCTTAGAAATCTACTAGAGTTTGGGTTACGATTAAAGCAGAAAAGAAGTAATTAAATGTGCTTTCATTACTAAAGGCAGAAAATAGTGTAATGGTCACTTGTGGCTTCTGCTTTCTGAACTCAGTTAGTACCCTGGGATCACAGAGACTAGTGCTGTCCTAGTCATGTTCCCCTTATTAAGCCCGGCAGGTGGCCTAATTAACACAGTGATCCAGAAGGCAGGGGAGACAGCAGGGACATGGCAGCGTGGCTTTGTACTGTTGCCTTAAGGATGGGGGCTGTGTTTCCTGCCTGGCTCTGCGTGGGGCCCTGGGAGGCTGTGCTATGGTGCTGCAGCCTCCCCCCTGTGAAAAACTGTGGGAGCCATTGATGCATCACATGCAGTTCCATCTTCTCTCAGGGGCAGAGGCAGGAGTGGAGCTGTTGTGGTTGAGATGAAAGACGTGTGAAGGGTCTGTGGGATTAGAAATGATGAGGCAGCTCATCTTTCCAGATGAGAGAGGTGCCTATGCCCTGCATCTCAGGGAGGAAGAATCTGCATTGTGATCCACCAGCTACAGGGCAAAGCTGCATGAGATTTCCCAACAAGAGGGGCATTACAAGGTCACTGTTGCCATATACCTTGTGTGGGAATGTTCTCTTCTGTCCAGGTGGATGCTGAACTTGGTGTTCTGTTCTTTGTTCACTTGTTTATTCACTACTGGAATTTTTTCCAAGGAGCACAGCTTCCCACTCTCTCTGAGATAGGTTAGAAGGACAAAGGGTCGTGGGCAACAAGAATGACCCAGGCTGCCAAAAGTAAAGGAAAGAGAAGGGCCCTGTGAGAGGAAGCTCTGCACACTGGGTTTTTGGGGATCTTAGGAGAACTGAGTCGGTACTGCTCTTGTTCACCCCCAGATGGAACGGCAGCGCCTTGCTCGAGAGAAGCAGATGCGGGAGGAGGCTGAGCGCTCGAGAGATGAGCTGGAGAGGAGGCTGCTACAGATGAAAGAAGAAGCAACAATGGCCAACGAAGCACTGGTGATTTCTGTGTAGTCAGCGTCCCAGGAGGTTATGTGGGGACTTCTGTGAATCAGCAGCATTTGCTGAGATTTGCTTTATTTCAGTTGGACCTTGAGGCAGGTAGATCACAAGTGCAAGGCCAGCCTGGGCAACTTGGTGAGACCTTGTCTCAAAATAAAAAACCAGTTGGGAAAGTAGTTTAGTTGGTGGTAGAGCACCCCAACTTCAGTCTGCAGAATCATTCACAAAAAAATGTTAAGTGCTAGAGCTAGGGATGTAGCTCAGTGGTAGAGTGCTTGTCTACTATGTGTGAGGCCCTGGGTTTCATCCCCAGCACCACAAAACATCTGTGCTGACAGAAGCAGACTTAGGTTGGGTGTGTGTACAGCCAAACTCTACTTTGACCTTGGGGTTGCCTCAGTATTGCTGATATCTGGGGCTGATCATCTGGAGCTTTCTTCTGTATCGAAGGATGGTTTGCAGTATCCCTGGTCTCTGCCTGCTAGATGCCAGTAACATCACCTCATCCTCTGTGACATTCAGAATGTTGCCAGCCATTGCCACATGTTTCCTGGAGTGACAAAACCTTTTCTGATTTTGAATCACCGATTTAAGGAGAAGACAGTTTATGTTGTTTTTCTGCCTCATAAAACATATGCCTCAGCTAAAGTGGGTACTCAAAGAATGCTCTTTCTTAATCCCCATGGGTGAAGCCTTAATGATCCTTATGAATAGTAGGGGGATGTGACTTGTCATCTGTTGCTAGAGGTCCCCTAACGTGATGCTTAGTGCCAAAGCCCAAGGAGTCTGAGGCTACTGCTTGCTGAGCTGCTTCTCTGAGTCCAGATCTGGGTGGGAAATGGGCACAGCTAAGAGCATGCTTCCCTCCAGATGCGGTCAGAGGAGACGGCTGACCTCTTGGCAGAAAAGGCCCAGATCACTGAGGAGGAGGCCAAGCTCTTGGCACAGAAGGCCGCAGAGGCTGAGCAGGAAATGCAGCGCATCAAGGCCACAGCCATTCGGACAGAGGAGGAGAAGCGTTTAATGGAGCAGAAGGTGCTGGAGGCAGAGGTGCTGGCACTGAAGATGGCTGAGGAGTCGGAGAGAAGGTGAGGGGGTGCCCTGGGCACAGGAAACCTATAAAGAGCCCGGAAAAGAGCTGCTTAGTCCAAACTTTGCCCTGAAGCAGAGCAGGACACAACCATCATTAAGCTGCTTCCCCATGATCCGGGCTGGGGAGGCTCCTTTTCATGCCTGGTCCTTGTAACTAGAATTGTTGGAAGGGCACAGAGTGCAGTTCTCTGGCCTCTCTGCTGAGACCCCATCCTTCCCATAGCCAGCTATGCATAGCCAGCTGCTAAGCATGTCTACAAACTGATTTTAGCTAAGGAGATACAAAGAGGTTCTTTTGCACTTTAAAAAGGTACGGTTCTTTCCCTTTTTTTTTAAATTTGGAGGGGATGTGAAAAAACAGCAATTCTTTACATGTAATACTAATTAGGTGCCTGCAGCCTTCGTGGCAGATGAGGGAAGAAGCTGTGGTCCTCCTTATGACCAGGATGTCCCAGCTCATGACCAGGCTGAAGTACAGATCTGTTGTCTGTACTTTTCAGACTGTTCTAGACTCTGGATCGTACTGGTACTGCAGCCTTCAGATAAACACTGGCACATTCTCCACAGCATCTGGTTCTATTGATTTAGAACACTCAAATTTGGCTTCTGGCAACTAAGGTGATTCACTATAGTTTCCTCACCATTCTTTGCTTGTCATTCTGAGACTATGGTTTCCTTGATGCCTGCCCCATCCAGGCCCCTTTTTCTCTGTGTGTCGGTCGCATCTGCTGTGAGTGATAAACATTGGGCCAGGTGCTCATGTGCTAGGCCTTACATGCTGTTCTCAATTCATGTCCCATAGGGCAAGGATCTGATTTGCTCTCAATGGTAAGGTTTATCTTTCTGCCTTAGTAGGCCCTTGGTCTGAGGGTGTTTTACTTGGGAGTTGTAAAGAACCAGTTCTTTTATATTCTGGCTTCTGTGGCCCAGTATAAGACTTGATGACCAGCACTTTCCTCTGTTCAGCCCACTTTTATCCAGAAATAAAACAAGAGCATTCCCCCCTACCACCACCATCACCTATTGCAGATGCTTTGTATTTTTTGAAATAGCATCTTGATGTGTTGCTTAGGCTGGCCTCAAATTTTGGGGTTCAAATGATCTTTCTGCCTCAGCCTTCTGAGGATCTGGGACTACAGGTGTCTACCACCATGCACTACAGCTTACACGATTTCTTGTTTGGCTCTTTTTTTTTTTTTTTTTTTTTTTTTTTGTCTTTTTCCTTTTTATTGGTACCGGGGATCGAACTCATGACTGCCTGCTTGCAAGGCAGGTGCTTATACCGCTAAGCTAAATCTCCAGCCCCTCTTGTTTGGCTCTTGCTCTACCAGTTTCCCTAGTCTTCCAGTTTAAATTTTCCAATTGAAATAAAATAATGCCTAGGAATATTGCTCTTGCTTTGGTAGTTCTGACTTCCTGTAAATGTTTCTGCCCCACTGTCCTTGTCTGCATTGTCAGGAGCCATCATTGAGATAAACTCAGTTCCCTCCTCTCTTGGGATGGTGCAGGAGTGGGAATCACTTCTCTCTACCCATCTTCTTCTATGAAACTGACATCTCCTTTCTTTGCAGGGCGAAGGAGGCAGATCAGTTGAAGCAGGACCTGCAAGAAGCCCGCGAAGCAGAGCGAAGAGCCAAGCAGAAGCTGCTGGAAATTGCCACCAAGCCCACATACCTGGTGAGCCTGGGCAGGGGCTGCCAGCCTGTGGCTCTTTAGATCTGGTAACTTCCTGTCCCTCCCAGCCCTTCTGTTCATCTTCAGAGTGACAGTTTCAGCAAAGCATGGCACAGCCAATGGTATAGAGTCTGCCTGAGGCCAGGCACTGGGCAAAACATCCATGGTCACCTGTTAGCTTTAGATTAGTCAGTTACCTCTCTGATTACCTAGATAACAGGTAGCAGGGCCTTTTCCAATTCTCAAATGTTTTTCTTTTTTAAGTAGTAAAAATGCAACAGCACAAGACAGAACAAAGCCAATTGAGACAATGCAGTGAAATTGGTACAGGATTTCACAGTAGGATACTGGGATAGTAGTAATAAGTACTATGGTATATCTCTTTGACTTAACAATAGTTGTCCAGTCAATTAGGTATTGTAAAATCAAACCAAAAATAGAACATTATAAAACCAATTGAGAATACTGAATAGAGCAAAAGAAACATAACAAAACAGTGAAAACAACCTATGCCTTCAAACAGCAGATAGAAGGAAATCCCCCATATTTGCTATACTGCACATGGTCATCCTCCCAGGAGATGTTGAAAAATCTATCCCCAGTAGCTAGGGGGAAGGGGGCAGGCAGGAGAAGGGTGCTTGATTTTCAGCCTGTGTGGCAGTAGCTTACAGGTAATGGTTCTCCTCCAGGCCCAAGCTGCAGGTGTTTAACAAGAGGGCAGGTGAATAAGCTGCCTGAGTCCCTCCATGGCCGAATCTGAAGAGTTGATTCTCCTGGTCCGCACTGCAGGCGCTTAGCAAGAGGGCGGGTGAATAAGCTGCCTGAGTCCTCCATATCCAGATCTCTGGAGCTCTGTTCTCCTGGCCCGCGTTGCAGACGCTTACCAAGAGGGCGGGTGAAGAAGCTGCCTGAGTCCCTCCATGGCTGCATCTCGAGAGCTCTCTTCTTCTTCTGGCCCGTGTCACAGGCGCTTACCAAGAGGGCGGGTGAATAAGCTGCCTGCCTGAGTTCAAATGTTTTTCTTATACTAAATAATATAGTCTCAAATTATCCTCAAAAGAATTTGCTCTCTAATGCTTAGGTGAATATAATTTTCTACCATCAGTAGAAGTAGTATCAGATACTTCTGCTATCTTCCATAATTATATTTCTGAGAAGGAATTGACTGTTCTTCCTCAAAGTGAATTATTGCTGTACAAGAACCTGATTTCAGCCTCAGTTTTTGGACAGTGAGACAGACTTTTAGTAAATGGGATCACAAAACAAACAGAAACTGCTTCCTTTCCATTCCACTATGCAAATGTTTTGTCCACTTAAAACCACACCGTTGAAAATTTATATCCAGGCAGGTGTGCACAGGTGCCTAAAACATGGCCAAGCCTGGGGTTAGGAGGGGCTAGAATGGCACCTGAGCTGACTCCTGAAGGGAGAGCAGGGACTAGTCAGGCAGAGAAGAGATGACAGATGTTCTTCTAGGCAAGGGCTTGGATGTACCCTACAGCGCAAATACATGCTATTCATACACACAGCACAGGCAGATACTACACATTCGTGCACATGGACACGCACACTGCACTTTCATACATGTGGCATATTCACACAGCAGGGATAAGCTACCCAAGGTATTAGCTAGAGAAATGTCAACGGTTTGCTATGCTACGTATCATGGTTATCAGTTACTGGGTAACAGAGCACTCCAAGTCAAATGTGTGGCTCCCAAAAAGCGTTTATTGTTACTCACAGCGTGGTGGGTTGATTGAGCTGATGTCCTTGCTTGGAATCTTTCAGGTGCTTGCAGAGAGGTGAGGGCTGGGAATGGAGTCATCTGAGGGCTCGGTTGGACTGTATACCTGAGATTTGTGTGTGTACATTTAAAACACACATTGGTACAAACTTTATACACTGCTCTAACTTTGGTCTTCTTAGCAACAAATTCTGGAGATCATCAATACCAGTTTTTAACCACATTTGGTCTTTTGGCTAGATTGTAATGCATCTAACCAGTCCCTTACATTTGAACATTTAGTCTGTTTTCTTTTATAGTTTTGAACATAACCACACTGAATATCCCTGAATGCAAATCTTTGCACATACATTGTGTCCATATCGGTAGAGATTATCACAAATAGAACCATGGTGTCAGATGCTCCATTTTGATTCCCTTGAAAGACGTTGTTTCTGCTCTACCAGTGGTGCAGCAGCCAATACTCATCCTTTCTGGAAGTTTTTATGAAGTGTAACATATATACAGGGAAGTGCCCAAATTACAACTGTATGCTTGCTGAATTTTCACAGACAAAACATGTCCATGTACTCAGCCCTTGATCAGAAAGAAAAAATTGTAGGACTCCAGAAGCGCCTACTCAGCATCACTTCAGACACCTGCTTCAGGCCTTACCATCTCATATGAGAGTTCTGAGGCCCCACTGCTTCCCAGACTCACCTTAGACTTAGTAAAGAAGCCAAGGATGAAAAAGAGGCAAATGCAGCCCTCAGGAAGCTCACAGACTGTGGAAAAAAGATACAACCAAAGAGTCTTTACTATGTAGAGTTATGGAAAAGAGGCACTACTGAGCCATGAACACGGTCTTAGGGGCCAGTGAAAGAAAGGGTGGCCTTCTGTCTGAGAAGGATCTGAAGGCTTTGGTGAGAGATCAAAGGGTCTGAGAAGGGTCTTGAAAGGCACAGAGCTTAAGAGATGGAAAAGCACCACAGCTCAAAGAATACTAAATACCACTTAGGACTTTGTAGGGCAAATAATAAAAGAAACCAGGGAGGTAAATTAGGGCCATATTTTAGATGACCTTTTGTTCTTGGATGAGAAAATCCCAAAATAAATCTAGTGCTTCATTTGTGTTACTTCATTCTGGGCCCTGTCTTCCAAATTTGAGTCCCTTAGCATGCTGGTTGACTCTTGCTGGTCCAGAACCAGTCTCCTGCCCACCTGCCCACACAGGAGCTGCAGATGGCCAGCACTCTTGCTGGACACTTGGTGCAGCTTGCAACCGTTCTTCTCATCTGGCACCTTTCTCACCTGGCACGTTGTCTGATTGTAGCAGAAGCAGCATCTCTTCTAGTGTGTCCCCTCTATCTTCCTTGGCCTGTTTGCTTCCTGGCTCCAGTGTTTGCCTTTTTTAACTGTGAAGATTTGTGAATGCATCTGTTTCCTGGACAAGGCTTTCAATTGCTCAGAGCCAGAGACCCTGCCTTGTTGTCTGTATCCCCAGCTCCTACTGCAGGAAATGGGAATTTGCTAAACGAAAAAGTGAATGGGAGTTTATGTTTGATTTGACTGAGTGTGCAAAAGATTAAATTTGTAGGAAGACAAGTAATTTGATTGGATTTTGGTTCGATCACAGTAACTACTACACACTGGGCTACCTATATGTTGGGGCTTTTAAGCTTTTATCTCGTTTCATTTCTAATAAATAATAAATACTACACTGACATCAAAGATAAGTTTTATTGTTCCCTTTTTTGGGACTTTTTACCTAGACCTCATTGAATGTGGGGGGCATGTTCTTATAAAACCCAAATTTCCTAATTCTGAGCTTTCTCACTGATAGCCTGTGAACCCAATCCCAGCGCCAATGCCTCCTGACATACCAAGCTTCAACCTCATTGGTGACAGCCTGTCTTTCGACTTCAAGGATACTGATATGAAGCGACTTTCCATGGAAATAGAGAAAGAAAAGTATGTAGTCCTCTGTGGCCTGCTCGGGGCAGCTGGGAACATGAGTGAATGGATCTGAGTCTAGGGACACAGGTCACAACAGAGGCCTGTCACTAGCTCCCATAAAGGTTTGCTCAGTTATCACCCACTGAAGGACGAGTTTCCTAAATAGAAATTAAAGACAACAGCTGAGCAGTCAGTGCTGTCGGATAAAATGACATTCAGTTGGTGGCCTGGAGTTTATAGTGGCTCAGAACTCTGAAGAATGGAGCAGGGTTGTCAGGGGCCTCCCAGTCAGTCACACTGCTATTGCCATGTACTAACCTGTAGTTTCCTAATCATATTCTCTGATAGCTGGGATCTGTGGTGCTTCCTGTGTCTAGAACAAAGGTGAGACAGAAGAAACTAGGGCTTGAGGATGAGGAAAGCATGTGGCCAGGTGGAGTATCTGCTGTATCGGACAGCTCTCAGCAGAGCCCCAGGTTGGCCTAGGCTGCCTATATGGTCAGTGGAAATGTAACCAGAAATGGAGAGAGTTCTACTGCAGAGGAAGATTAAGCAAGATCCCATTCTCAGAACCTGAGGTGAACTGATTAATGATGCCACATTTGGCAGAAAACAATCACAGTAGCCAGCATGGACTGTTTTTGTTAGTTTTTTGGCTTTTATCTCATTTAATTCTTAGTAACAAACATCACACTGACATCAAAGATAAGTTCTAGTGTTCCTTTCCCACTCCACTGTACTGCAGATTGAACTAAGGGACTTCATACTGAGCTACATCAGTCTCTTTTATTTTTTCTATGTTGAGACAGGGTCTCCCTAAGTCACTAAGTTGCCCAGGTTGGGCTCAAACTGGGGGATTCTCCTACCTCAGCCTTCCAGAGTGCTAGGATCACAGGCAAGCACCACCATGCCTAGCATTAGTGTTTCTGTTTTATAAATGAGAACACAGGCTTAGTTTAATGAACTCACTCAGCATCACACAACTGACAAAATGCAGACTAGGAGTCAAATGCAGACTAGGGGTGTGGTTACCTCAGGATAACCCTCTAGGAAAGTGCCTCCATGGAGTCCAGCCTAGGCCACCACAAGACTGGCTGTACTTCTCTTCAGGCCTTCATACTGAGGGCATAGATAAGAAGCTAGTGGCCTAGAGCCACTGATGGTAGTATCTGCTAAGGTCCTGTCATCTTTGTCCAGACATGCATATGTATGTGGTTGAGATCACTGTGAGGCCTGAGCCTGTTCCTCCTTCATTGCAGTTTATATTTTCTTATTGTTCTAGTGTATTTAGAATGCTATAGCAAAATACCAGAAGCTGAGTGGCTTATAAGCAACAGGTATTTATTTCGCAGGAGGCTCATTCCATGTGCTGTTTTGTACAGAACTAAAGGTACCACTATATGACGTGGTATTTGTTGAGCATTCTGAGATTTTACAGAGGACTTTCTTATACTTTCTTTAGTCCTGACCATAATCCTGTGATTGTTATCCTAATTTTACCAGTCAGAAAAGAGATTCCTAGCAGTTAGGTGACCATCCCAAGTTCCCAGAGCCCATGAATGGCCAATTTGAGGTGTGAACCCCGAGTCTCAGCCACTGGCACCTATACTGAGCTCACATGGGTTACAGAGCATCTTAACCATGCCTCGGTGCTTGCGTGAGGCCTGATGCATGGTGTCCTCTTGCCATAGAGTGGAATACATGGAGAAGAGCAAGCACCTACAGGAGCAGCTCAATGAGCTGAAGACAGAAATCGAGGCCTTGAAACTGAAAGAGCGGGAGACAGCTTTGGACATTCTGCACAACGAGAACTCGGACAGGGGCGGCACCAGCAGCAAGCACAATACGATTAAAAAGGTATTCAGAGTCTCTTGGCTTTTGCTGATCAAGACATTCATTAATGAAATGTGAGGTTGGCATCTGGTTTCCTCAGGAGCCGAATCATTAGACTGTTGTCATTTTTTACATGTACTTAGTTGGGGAAATTTTTCAACTCCTGCCAGAAAGGAAATTTAATCTGCCAGTGACCATGAGCCCATTGGCTTGATGGAAGTGGAGTTTGTGTTAAAAGCTCTGATGAGATGAATCCCTGCTAGAGCACGGTTTTTGATCCATCATTGAGCACCAAAGCAGTTCTGTCATTTAAGCCAAAGGGAGTTACGCCCAGGGAGCTGCCTTGCTTGACATGAAGGCATAATGAAGACGAGGCTGCAGACAGTGGAGTCCCCTCTAGTCTTTTGGTGGTTTGCTTTGTTTTTGTTTGTTCGTTTTGGTTTTCCTTTTTTTTTTTTTTCCAATAATGGGGATTGAATCTAAGACCTCACACGTATTAGGCTACATCCCCAGCCCTTTTTAAAAAATTTATGTAGTTATTTATTATAAAAAGGTCTCATACAAGGTTTCATCTAGCCCACACTGGCCATAAGTTCTCCATGAAGCTCAGGCTGGCCTTGAACTCACTCCTGCCTCAGCTTCCTGAGTCCAGGATTTTCTATCCATTTTTTAAATTTTACTTTGAGAAAGCCATCTAGGCTGGCCTTGAACTTGGGATCCTCTCGCCTCACAGTGTCACCATCACCAGAAGTATCTGGATTATAGATGTGCCCTATAATCCAGATTACACCCCCTACACCCAGCTTCTTTTAGTGTTTTTAAGTGGCAAAGACTATAAATCTGGTTCTTGATTGAGAAATCATATTTTAAGTTTCTAGTTTTTTCATACATCAGAGGAAGTGTCTGGGGGAGCCTTAATGTTTTTAAAAACTGAGTCTTCATTTATGAGGCTCATGATATCCTACCTTTCCCTCCTGATGTTTAAATCTGTTGGTGTTTTAAAGACTAAGCAGTTAATGATTAGCCCGAGAGTGTAAGTATCTTATTTGGGGAAAGTAGAAAGGTCCTTTCTGGCCAACCAAAGCTCTGCTTTTAGCTGATAGCCAGGGGCCAGGGTACACCTATAAAAGAGGTGTTATTTAGGTTGAGTTCAAAGATCTCTATGGTTCAGTCTTTGCCCTTTACATTAGTCTTTAAGATGGGCTCCTAGTTTAAGGACTATCTCTTTTCAGTGGCTACCCTATAACTGGAAATCCCAAGAAATCTGTGCCCCATTGCCCGTTTCTGATGAGTATGATAGGGAACCCCCATGTTTTTTTCTTGGCTCTAATGGCAATTGGCAGTAAATGGAGAATTCCTTTTAATAGGATAATTTAGAAGGAAAGGCATTCCCATATTCTGTGTTCTTTGTACCTCTGGCTTCTGTCACTTCCAGGAGAAGTGGAGTTTGTAGTTTCCCTTCCAAAACAGAGTTACTCATCAGCAAAAGGGGAGTTATAGAGGCCTCCATCATTGAACAAAGGGATGAAACAAAGACTGGGCCAGTGAGCTGGTCAGCCATTAAGGGAGCTATTTCAGCTGCCCTACCCCTGCCCCTCGTCACCTGGGAAGCAGGAGCAGCCTTCTCTTTGCCACTGCAGCTATGGCGCAGGAGCCTATTGTTAAAAACTGGAGACATAGTTTCAAGTCATAAAAAACAAACAAGTCACTCATCACAATTTCAGGCCTGTCTGAGCATTTTGCAAATGGCACATATGGCAATGTTGATATCACAGGGTGTGTTTTTGTTTTTCTTCATTTTATTTTGCTGGTTTAGCCTCAAGCCCAAGGCAGAAGACCTATCTGCATTTGAGTCCTCAAAGTAGGTTATTCCCAGGTACTCTGTCTGTGGTGATGGGCCTGCCCCCTGTGATACTAACCCATGCATGAGCTTGCCTGTCTCTGTCCCCGGGCACGCTGCAGCATGCTTTGACTGAGAACAGGCATCCATTCTGTGGGGCCAGGCCAGCCTTCAGGGCCCAAAAGGCTGCCTGCTTCATGCTGAAGAGCATGTCACAGCCTGCAGGACTGGTTGTCCTTTCCATCTTGTGTTACTGTTGGGCTGGGAAAGGTTATGGCTTCTTGTCCAGTCAGGTCTGTCTAAAGATCCTCTGTTTTGGTGGTGTACTCCTTAGATAAATAACCCTAGCATGGAAATGGGCCAATTGGGGTGCTTTTAAGGCTGGTGTCTCTCACTCAAGATCCACACCTACTGTGTAACGGTAAGCTTTGCAGATCTGTGGTCCCATCTGTCAGCTTCTGATCACAGAAGGGAGGAGTTGCCAGGTGTGCTTATTTCCCATGAGAGCTTCCCTGTTCTGGGCTCACCCCTTTTGTCTTCTAGTGCAGCAAACACAGAACACAGGGTCTCGGCTATGAGAGTCTGAGTTTATCGTCTCGTCTATTCCATTACTCCCTAAAGGCTGTCTGGGCTTGGGCTCAGTGTGGAGCAGTTGTGAGCAGGGTGAGCCCACACTGAGACAGTCCTGTCCTGGGCACCAGGGAGATGAATATTCAGTGATTGTTGAGTGATTAATTGAACCATTGCTGCTTATTCTTCCAACATGCCTCGACCCTGGAGAGAATTTATTCTGCCCACTAATAAAAAGACATTCCACCTCTGCTTCTCACCTAATTCCTAGTTATACCTCTGCCAGTGAGCCCAGCACCATCTGACAGGAGTGTGGAATGCATCCTTCAGAGTCCTCATTGGAGTCAAGTAGAGTAAGCTCATTGGAGGCTTTCTACCAAAAATGAGATATGGCATAAGATAGATTATATTTATTTATTTAGGTTATTTAGGTTTTTTGTTTTCTTTCTTTCTTTTTTGTGAGACAGGGTCTTGATTTGTAGTGCAGGGTGGCCTTGAACTCACGATGAAGCTCAGGCTGGCATCAAACTTGTGATGATCCTCCTACCTCAACCTCCCAAGAGCTGAGATTATAGGAGTGCAGCACTACACCCAGTTAAAATAGACTGTATGTATCTATGTGTATATATATTTATTTATTGGTACTGGGGATCAAACCCACAACCTCACACTTGCCAGGCAGGAACTTGTACCACTGAGCTAAATCTCCAGCCCTAGACTATATTTATGATCATTGTCCTAGCAAGAGAAATTAGCTACTAAAATTCCAGGTAAATCTGTAATAAGATAGGTTAGAGTTGTTAGTGATTCTAAGAATCCATGGCATGAACCCTGATGTTGGTGTGCTGTAAGCCCTGAGTGATTTAGTGGGCTCCTGTTTCTTCAATTCTCATGCCACCTTGGCACTAATACCCTGACACCAGGCAGTTGGTACTCTGAGCAAGGCAGTTGGGAACAGCTGCAGAATGGGCCAGCCACGTGGGTTTCCACCCAAGTGTTGGTCCCCACCCAAGTGTTGGTCCCATGGCCCCAGGGCACCATTGCTGGGTTCAGCGTGGTTTACTGGACTCTGTGGTTAACACCAGAGCAGGTGGAAGTGCTGCTTTGTTTCAGCCTGTGCTGTTGTTTCTTGCATAAGACTGTACAGTAAAATCTGAATGTGTTTCCCCTTTCTTTTTGTAGTGATACAGGATGTTTAACATCTTCAAGGCCTTAATTTTGAGTGTCAGTTCTCATTGAATTGTTATTGTAGAGAAATGAAGCTTCATTTTTTAGTCATGTTGGTACAGCTTCTGTGATATACCATAATGAGGCTCATAAAAACATTGGGTCAGTGGTAAACTTGAGTATGTAATGGTGGTCCTAGAAAATTGCATTACCTAGTGATGTAGTTGTCTTATTGTATAAGTACTCTGTAATAGTCATTGAACAACAAAGTCCCCTAATGCCACCTGCCTTTTTTTCTTGCTTTTAAAATTTTATTTATTTATTTATTTAATGGTACCAGAAGCGAGAGCCCCTTGAGGCTATTTATTTATTTTGATGCTGGGTCTTGCTCTGTAATTCAGGCTGACCTTGAACTCTCTTATGTAGCCCAGGTTGGCCTCAAACTCATGGCAGTCCTCCTGCCTTAGCCTCTCAAGTGCAGAGATTACAGGCGTACACTACAACACCTGGCTTTGATGACTTTTCTTGCATTGTGTCACTATCATTAAGCAACATGTGACTGTGTATGGAGGCCTTCATGCATTTATTCACTTCACTTTTCTTACTTTTTTGGAGGGTAAAGGCTCGAGTCTAAGGTAGGTCTTGCTATGCAGTTCAGGCTGTCCTTGAACTCACTATATCCAACCTAGCCTTACACTTGTGGCAGTCTTCCTGCCTCAGCCTTCCAATTTCTGGGATTATATGTGTGTGCCTCCATGCCTAGCTTCATTTCAGTGTCTTGATGTGTGAACTTGTGTTCAAGCAAGTTACTAGCCTGTATTTAATCAAGAATTCTCATTCATCAAAGGTTACTAAAAGCATGGACTTAGCTTTTATTATGACTGGAGTTCTCCCAGCATCCGTAGATTAAACAGTGCTAGCATTTGCTGCACATGAAGTTTGACAGATGTTTCATTTTCTAAATTTTAACAGTCCCTGTGGCCAGGACTGATGACGAGCCACCTGCTTGTGTAGGGGTGGTTCTGAAGTCTTGCCTGCTGCAGTCTGGGCCATTGTGAACCTAGCCAAAGAGAAATGCCGCTTCAACTCTGGAAGTGTGGGTAGCTAGACTGAGGGCATAGCTCCATCTAGAATGTCTGGGGGTGAGAACTATAAGAGCTGGTGGTGAGCTGGAGAGTTTCCAGTATCCTGAGCAGAGAGCTCAGGAATCAGGGTGCAAACCTGCCTGCATTGGTTTTGTTTCGTTATAGTGGTTTTTGATCATAGATTCTTCAACAAAAGAATAGGTCTCCAAGCTACTACTGTATAGTCTGTGCCTATTCCTCCTCCTCCTCGCTTTCAGTACTGTCTGCTTCACCTAGAGGTTTAGTGTCTGACATGGTCTCAGCAGTTCCTATGGGAACTATGGAAAATCAAAGTTAATTGAAGGGAAATAACCCTTGGGGGACCACAATCCCTTGAGAACAGTAAGAGGCAGAACTGTCTGGTTATCTGAGGTGCTCCTTCCTTTCTCTAAAGTTGTTATTCTCTTAAGAATTAGTGTCCTTGGGGGCTGGGGATTTAGCTCAGCGGCATAAGTGCCTGCCTTGCAAGTGCGCAGTCCTGAGTTCAATCCCCGGTACCGATTAAAAAAAAAAAAAAAAGAATTACTGTCCTCACCTATAAAAAGTGACTATAAACTGGCTATAGTGGCATGAGCCTGTAGTCCCAACCACTTGGGAGGCTAAGGCAGGAAGATTTCAAGTTCAAGGCTAATCTAGACATTTTACCAAGATCCTTCCTTGAAAAGCAAAACAGAAAGGAAGGAAGAAAGGGAGGGAAAGGAGAGAGGGAGAAAGAGAAAAAGACTGTGTGGCTTAGTGGTAGAGCACTTGCCTAGTGTGTGTAAAGCTCGGTTCAACTCAACACCATGCAAAAAAAAGGGAAGACGAGCCCCATTGTTGTGAGGTTAAATGAGGGAATGTACACAAAGCACTTAGCACAATAAGGGTTTAACAATATAAGAAACCCCAGATCTGCCTGTGAACCCATGGTGTAAAGGAGGAAGGCACTTTTATGTGCAGAGCTGGTAGTGAGCATAGTTATTTTTTATTTTATTTTACTTGTCTTTTTCTTTTTTTTTATCGGTACCGGGGATTGAACTCACAACCACACACTTGCAAGGCAGGGGCTTATGCCGCTGAGCTAAATCCTAAACAGAATTAACTTTGCAGGTTCCTTGGGTTTGATGGGTATATTTTTCTCTTCTTGCTACCTCCCCACATTTCCTTTTTTTCCCAGTTGATGATCAGTGTAACTGGTTTGACATTTGCATCTGAATCAGCAACACTAGTGATCAAAAGCTGCCCTGGGGAACCTGCATTTGTTTCATACCCAGAGAGAGAGACAGCATCTGTTCCTGGCTTGTGAGCCTCTGAGGGAGGGGAGCAAGTCCAGCAGTCAAGAGGGATGGGGGGACACAGAGCTCTTTGGGTCTGAGCATTTTGCCGACAGAGCCACTATACTGATGACTGTAGTGGTGGCCAGGTGTGGTTTAGCTGTGTCACCCTATACTAGAGGTACAAATGTGGTCCAGGAGTATGCCCATGCCCACTTCCAGGTTTTGCTGCTATCCCCTTTTAAGACACTGATTTTAGTCTCCTGATCATGAAGTGATCGGAGCACCAGCAAACAAGCCATCAGTTTTGTGCCTGTGGTCTCCGAAGGATTTCAAAAGAAATCGACAGATGAGAAATCATGGGGGTCGCAGAGCACAGAAAGCTTGTTTCATTAGTAGATGGTGTGGACTGTGTCCAGCCATGGCTTCCACTGGTGGGGGAGTGGGAATAGCAGAGTTTTAACATTCATGGAATGCCCTGCCACCTCTTCTGGATCAGGAAGACATAAAAATCCAATGTCATCTCCAATTTCTGCCAAGTCCCCTTGGAGATGCAGGGCTGGCGAAGTGAAGCAGAACACTTTAGACACCCAGGGAAGTGATAAATCTCAGGGAGAGATTGAATATGCGTGAAAGGCATCTCCCACAATTAAAACAAGCACCCAGATCCTCCCTGGTGACCTCCGGTGTACATTGTCAGCTTCGAAGGCAGCTGCTAAAACAGTTTGTGTTTAATATGGGGTTCATGTGTCCAGCTCTCCTTAAGACCCAGGAGGCTGAGTGGCTCTGCTTGCTTTGGAAACCAGGCCTCATCTGATAGAACATCTTTAGCCATGATATAAAGGCATTGCTCTGGCTCCTCACCTCTGGAACCTTCCATTTGCATTTGAGAAGAGAAGAAAAAAGAATAGGGAGTGGAATGAGAGCAGCAGCAGGATCAGATGGGGACATAGGACACCCAGAAGAAACCACAGTGGTCTCTCAGAGTCTTTTCCTCGGCCCCAGCACACTGAAGGTGTTGGGAACAGCCAGCTGGCCTTAGGCCTGCCCTCTTCCGATGTGACAGCATGGGCTTATTCCTGGCCATTCTTCATCCACATGGACACAGTTTGTGGGTATCTTGTGACTGTTGGGGGTTACAGTTTCCTTGCTTGTTTGTGGCAGCTCTCTATTTAGACGAGCCTACTGGCCTCATTTCCAGAAAGACTAGACCTAATCCTGGTTTTGTTGGGGAGACTTTACCTGCTCAAGCAGTTGTTCTTTGGGAGGTATCAAGCCTACAAACCCTGCCTTCCTGGCCTAGGATGTTTTATGACTTTTTGGAAGTGCCTGTGGCCATTATTGGGTCTTATTTGATGCAGTAAAACATCCCATTGGCCCCTGGGCTCTGAAGATATGTTTCAGCACTGCTCTGCACGGGCATCTGATTTGTTGCTGCAACAGTGGGAGGAAAGAGCTGGGATGCAAACTCATTTTGTGGGCTCAAGGGTTTGTTCTTATGAACCCTGCCATGGTTTCTTATTTGAGATTGGCAATTTAAAAGTGACATCAGTATATCTGGACCTCTTTCCTAAGGCTCTACTCAGTGTTGGATAGATACCACTTAGTCTCCACCTGCCCAGTGAGGTGAATCAAGCCAATTAGTCCATTTGTCAGGTGGAAGGACAGAGTAAGAAAAAGCCCCGCCAGCATCACATGGGTGGCTAGAGACATAGAGATGTTTCCAGGTATCTTTCTGCTGCTTTAGGTCCCCAAAGGATTAATACACAAAAAGGTCCCCTGAGCAGATTTCTCTCTACAGTTGATACCAAACTGGATTTGTTCGTTGGGATAGATGTGGCCTTTGATACCACCCCTGGTTAGGGATAAATGCAGGGACAGCTCTCTTCCGGTACACATCACCAGATGGCATTTAGGTGCAAGCTGTCACTAGTAAGACTGCAGAAGAGCTTAATCTGGCCACTTTACAGCAGCAGTCCCCCTTCACTAACCCTTCCTCCTCAGCTCACTTGGAAGGGGGAATGTTTATCATACTCCAAACCAAAGATTATGTTGGAATTTGCTGCTACTGGATTTGGCTGTCTCCTTTCTGCTCCAGAGCCTGCTTCCTCCTTGGGGATCCTGGAGCCAGAGAATCTGCATGTCCTTTTGCATCTCTTCCCTCCCCCGCTCCTTCATTTTCAATATGTAGTGGCAGAGAGGAAGTATAACATGATTTTAGGGCTTGCATTTCAATTCCACTGCATTTTTATGGGACAAGCAGAGTCTCAGCGCCAGGAGTTATTAGGTTAGTATCTAAAATGGGTTCAGCATAGTGGATCTTACTGTTTATAATGAATTATCCCCCTCCCCCTTCCTTTCTCCTCCCTTGGGATGAGTGGATTGAAGCAGGGCCTCCAGAGACTAGTTGAAGGAATCCTGGTGCTCTGATTAGTTTTGTCCTCTCAGCTTAATTGTAGAGCTTCCTTTCTCTCGCCACTGATAGCCGAAGTGGTTCTGTGTCCTGCCCACCCCTCCACCCTCTTTTGCTTTAGGAACAAGATTATCACAATGCGGCCTTGTGAATCAATTTTCTCTCTGTACTGATGAAAGTGTAATTCATTCTTAATCAAGCAGCCTTGCTGCTGCAGGCTCTGTGCCGGAATACATTTAGTCACCCTCTCGTCTCTTTGGGAAACAATCCCCCAAAAAGGACTTTTAGAGGAGAGCTGGGTTAGGAGACTTGGCAGCCTGCCTCACATGGTGGGTTTCCAACAGGGGGCACTTTCAGGAATGGTGCTAGAAGAACCCTGGAAGCTGGGAGCTATCCATGTGGGCCACAGGTAAGGCAGCCTTGCCACAGGTGCTTTCCAGGCTTTGGCTCCAGACCCTGGGTCTATTTCTCCAGAAGATCTTGATGGACTTCCTGTCACACAGCAGTGAACTGGAGCCAGCTGCATCTGCTTGCATGCCTGGATTAGGGATCACCGGCTCAGTATCAGCTCTTCTTCCAGGGTAGGGAGTAGCTACTGCCTTTCTAAAGAGATAGAACTGAAAAAAAAGAGAGAGATAGAACTGAATCCGAATCGGTTTAGATTGGGTGAATGTTGCCATTTCTGTTACATCACACACATTTTGGGGAACAGGAGGAGGCCTACCTCTGCCAAGTGGTTTCCTCTCCTGCCTGCCTACAGCCTGGTTGCTGTCACAAATAAGTAGCCGTTTGATGGAGCAGTGCATGGGAGGAAAGGTGACTTTGCCAGAGGGGGAGTCTGTTGATACTGGGCAGAAAGGAGGAGCCAGGTCCCTGAAGATGGATCAGTGGCCCCTTAAGATAAAAACAAAGCCTTGTGTATCTGCTGCTGGGAAAGAAAAGGAAGTCAGTCTGGTCTCCTCAGAATGGAATTGGATTAGTGACAGACTTGAACAGCCGGTTCAGTCAAGAGAGAACTTAATTCCTCCTGTATTATTCACACGACTGACTCTAATCAGATGTGAAGAGACAGCTGGAAGAGAGCAGCGGGTCAGCCGAATGCCTGGTGAGGAGACTTCATGTTCTTTTTGCCATCTTTAGGGAGCTGGCAAGAGCGCTTTGGGTTGGACACTTTATAAACAGAGCCCTCGTGGCTTGCAGGCTTCCCAAAAGAGCTTGCCCAACTACTGGGACACTTGTGGTTGGTCTTGCCTGAATTCAGTGTGAGCTCTTGTCTTAGTTACTTTCTCATTACTAAGATAAAATACCTGACACTCATAAGTTAAAGGAGGAAAGATTTATTTTAGCTCATAGACTGAAGAGGTTTCAGTCCATAGTCTGCTGGTTCCAAGGCAAAGTGGAACAGCAGAGGAGAAACAGTTCATCAGGTGGTAGGCAGAAGGCATTAAGCCTTCTTTCTTTCCCTTTTTATTTCATCCAGGCTACAAGCCTATTGGTTGGTGCCGCCCATATCCAGGGTGAGTCTTCCCTCTTCAGTGAATCCATCATCCATACCCAGAACTATTGTAAACTAATCAGTGGACTAATCCAGTATCACACCCATGATCCAGTCCCTTCACAAAAGCCCCACCTCTGAGTGCATGAGTCTTTGGGAAGATGTCTAGATATAAGCAGTTCTGAAGGACAGTATGTGGCATGTGTGGTCACCAGTCACATTCAGCAGTGCTTCACGCACTTGTCTACAGAAGAATTCAAAGGAAGTCTACCAGACCAGCACAGAGTGATACAGCCACTGTCCATGAGAACCTGGTGCTAAAATGCAGTGTATTTAAAGAGCCCACACCCTGCATGCATGGGGTTGCTCCCTCCTGGACAAAGCTGGGGATGGGGCAGGCTGTTGCTATATTACCAGGAGCATAGGCACCATGGCTTGGACTTCTTGTGGTGGGTGGGACTTGCTGGATGCTTTCAATTCTTGATTCACAATGAGACATGAGACTAGGTGAAGGCCTTAGTGGGATCATCTCCATGGTACTTTCTGGCTTTGGCAAGCAGAGGTGTCACTGTGCTGGGTAGCGAGAACAAGGTGAGTCACTGAGCAGCAAATGGACCAAGTGTTGAGCTCAGGCACCTTAGGGTATCAGAAAATCACAGGAAAACCAGGAAGCTTGTTAGCTTATTTTCATGAGTGGAAAAAGAAGACCCATAAAAGCAGTTTATTTTATGAAGGGCTAGCTTTGTGCCACTTCCTCAGAGCCTTCACCTTTTCCTTTATGAATACTTCCTGCCCATAGCAGTGCTATAAATGCAACAGCAAACTTTCTAGCACAGGCACTGACTGTTGTAGATACAGCAGGTGGCAAGGGGTCCCACAGGTAAGGGGAGCCTATCCACTGGCTTTCCCAGCAGGGAGCACAGCTGGCAAAAGCTGTTAGCAGTGCCCTGAGGGAAGAGCTTCCTGAGTTCCTACCTGAAGGAATGATCCCCAAGGCTTCTCCTTGAAGGCCTTTGTGTCACTGCCTGCCTTCCCTCTGCATAAACCATGCCTCCTGGTCCTGCCAGGAGGAGAGCATTTGATGTCTGAGATAAAGGATGATGCAAAGGGCATGATGGCAGCTGGAAGGTTCCAGCAATGGGAAGTAAATTTGTGTGGTAAATTCTTCAGGCTTCAAGATTCTAGAGGGAACTGAAGTGCCACGAATTGTACGGTGAGGGTGGAAGTTGGGGTGACAACCATGTTGCCCATGGGCTTGGTAGTAACCACAGGAGGTCAGCAACCATCACTGACCAGTACAGCCAGGTCTCAGCTGCTTCTTCTGGAAGACTGTGGGAGTATCGGCTTTTTGTCTAGGCCTTTCCTTTCCTTGGAGCTAAGGTCAAACTTTGCTCTGGCAAGAGAAGACATTGGGCTGAATCATGCAATGCATTGAGGATTGGGAAGCATCCCACCTGCTGAAGAGAGCTTTGCATCCTAACAAGCACATGCTCCAGTAACTGGAATCCCTTGGCACCTTGAGGGGATAGCCGGCATGCTCCTCATTTAGAGAATCCAGGAATTCTTGGAGCCAGCATTGTGCAAATGGGCAGGATGCACTCACAGGCCCCACAGCCTGGGCTCCATGCCTGGAGAAGTGGCCAGGCCTCTTGGGGCAGTGCTTGCCCTGTTCAAAGGCCAGCACAGCACGTGACCCGGCTTTTGCCCATACTCCTTCTAGACAGTCACTCTGCCCTGCTGCCCCTGAAAGGAGAACAGCCAGAATTGGGTGGGGGAAGAAATGTGATGCCACTATTAGTAATAACAGCTGCTGAGTTCTCTGCATACGCCAGGTGCAGTGCTGAGCACTTCGCACACGTTTCCCAATTCCTCTGCATATACCCTGAGAAGACAGGGCACCATCACCCCTACTTCATGGTGGAGAACTGAGACCAGAGGGAGAGAATGACCAGCCCAGGGCCACCCAGCTGGTCACTGGACCAGATTGGATGTCCCTCTTTTGTATTCCAAGGGGCTCTGGGCATGCATGGCCCTGACCCCTCCAAGTTGCTTGTCCCCTGAGGAGCCTCTTGAAGTCTTCTCCGAGGTAGGGAGGCTCTGAGCATAAACATGGGCTGCATACACTTGGATTTAAACTGTTCCCACAGTGGAGTTTTTTCTCAGAAGCTCTCAGGCAGCTGAATGTCTGTCTTCCTAGATTATCACCCTGGTCCCATTATCATAGAGCACACGACTGCTGGTAGCATCTTCTCTGGTAGCATTGAAGGAGCCCGTCCAAACACAGTTCCCTTCTGGAGGGAGTTTGGATTTAGCAAAGAAAAGCTCTTCATTCGCATCAGAACTGGGCTTGTAGAGGGCTCCTGGAATTGGTTCCACTGAAAGAAAGAGCTCAGATGCCTCCTTGCATTCAGCTTGTTAGTTGGAAACTTCAAGGCCAAAAGATTTGGCAGGATTTAAAGAGTCGGCTCTCAAGCTGTCTCATTTTGAGCACACTAATGCTTGCCTGTCTTTTGATGGTGAAGTGGTCGCTTTGGAGTGTCCCTCCCCGAGCCTTTGCAGCACTGTGGGTAGTGCTGAGGACTCTTCAGATTCAGAGGATGTCTGAGATGAGGAAAGGGACCACACCAGCTAGCCTAGCCTGTGATTTATCTCTAGAGAACAGAGGTCAGGGGTGTTCAGTGAGGCCACAGGACACAGCACAGTGGTCATCCCTGGGTGGAGCCCTTGTCATTCTCCTGCATCTCATCATTTAGTTACATTATAGTTCACATCCCATTCACACAACAAACCAGATCTGTGTTTGTACTAGGTACCGGACACTAAGATAAAACATGAAGATGAAGAGTGTAGACTCATAGGGAGCTCTGGAGCTGGATCTAGAACCCACAGCCTTACTGATTGAGTCATTTCAGAAACAGAGCAGGGCACAGGCAGCAGAAGGGGCCTGTGCTAGATGCTTCTATTTGGGGGAAAGCTAGGAAGAGCCCCAGAGTCAGAAATTAGGAAGCACAAACTGCCAGGGTTGGCTTCCGGTCCCCCCTCTGCTTTTGCATCCTTCTGGCCCTGACCATCTCAAGCAGTGTCCTTCCTGCAATTGCTGGCCAGAGTACTGCCCATGAACACTCATTCTCCTCCCACCTCTCAGCTGCTGGATCACAGGCAGGTCTGCTTTGAGGATACCTGAAGAAACAGGAGCAGAAGGAACAAGCTTGTCTTCATCTGACACATGCCTGTCATTCTGCTCCAGGGCTTGAGGACTGAGACACTTACCCACAGCTCCTCTGAGCCCAGAAAATATGAGCATCTCCAGCTGGTGTCTCTGCAGACAGCACAGCACAAAGGTGGCGCTTCAAAGATTTGTAGACAGCAAAATGAAAATCCAGCAAAATATCCAGAGACCTTGTGGCCTCTGTGGAAAGGCAACATGGATGACATTTTCCTGCTGACATGCTTCGGCCCACCGGCTGTCACCCCTGGCATGTCCTTGTTTGTTAACTCCTAAATTCTGGGGCAAATCTAGAATACTATTTGGGCTTGACCACCAACTTCTTGAACATCTATTTGAACAGGCATCTCTATCGCCCCAAACCACCTTTGAGATTAGTCCCTACTACAGGACGGTCTCCCTTGTGATGGAACAGAAACCCAGTGCCCCCTTCAACTTTTTCTCTGCTCTCTTACAGCTCACTTTGCAGAGCGCCAAGTCCCGAGTGGCTTTCTTTGAAGAGCTGTAGCAGGTGACCCGGCCACTCCAGGATCTGCCATTTCTGTTGCTTCCAGCACCAGCAGGATGGTCCAACTCCGTGGGAACCATTTGTAGGGGGCTGACTGGGAGCTCCCATGGGAGCTCTGGAATATTCTCCAGCTGAGAGGAGAGTCCAGCCCCCTTCATGTGCAATTGCCTTTGAACTATGACCCCGTAGAGATCTCTCTCATGGTGTTTTAGTTCTCCTGACTTGCAAACCACCCCCCCCCCTTATTTTTGAGAAGTGTTTGTCTTTCTTTGTTTTATATGGGATCCTGTAAATCCTTGGTCCCTGGTAGCCTGGTGTGTATGTGTGTCTCACTGCCCAGTGCCAACCTCCATGGCCCAGTCTGGGAAACAGATGTAGGGAGTGAAGTGTCAAAGCTGAAGCCTAGGAAGCCAGTTCCACCACCCACATTCTACGTAGCATTCCAGAATGTCCACCCCCCACAGGTGAGGACCTGGCACAGTGGACAAGCATAGCCTGGCTGAGTTAGGCCCAGAGTAAGCTGACTGCTGCTCATCATTGGGGAGCGTGCCTGAAGCTCAGGATCAATAGTAATGGGTCCTCACCAGGGCACCCTGGGGTAGCACTGCTGGGTTTGGGGACAGCTCAGGGCAAAAGCTGTGATAAAGGCCCTGTGTTGGGAGTCAGAGCCTTGGAGGGATCTAACGGTACGGAGTGCTTACACCCTCCACCAGCCACCCCAGCCCAGAGCCTGAGAGACAGAAGACAGCCAGCTACATGTGTCTCCTTTTCCCTGTCAGCCTTAGACTCCTGCTTGGGCTGGTCATGTTCTTATCAATGCCTAGAAACCTGGCTATGACCATGGAGCTCCACAGGCCCCAAAGCCCCATGGGCACTTCCTGTCTGGCCCCAACACCACTCAACTCCAGAACCCGAGACTTCTACTGAGTCACCCCTCCTTTGACCATGTACAAGCAAGTCTTCCAAAACCCTCTCTTGTATCTGTGCCTCATTTACCAGTCCCCTTGTTCCTCTGGAGCCCCATTATTGTCTATCCTTGAGGGCCCATCAGAGTCCATTTTGTCTTTTCCAGTAGAGCCTTACACTGTCATCAAGAAGCTAGTGTTCACACAGGCTGGTACGCAGCTCCTTGTGGGTTTCAGAGCCACCTGTGTTTGGGGGCCACCTTCTGGCCCTTTCTTTACTTATGGCTGCTATTGCTGCTATAGCCAATTCGGGTCCTAATAGGTAAGACGTATGTAGAGCAGGTGATAGAACTTAATCAGCAAAAAGATTCTTATTAATTGAAGAAGGATAGAGATCCCTTGAGAGCAGAGATTTTGTTTGGTTTTGAGGATCAAAGGCACTCATGAGATCCTGCCTCATTTCTGCTGCCAGGCTAACCTAATGGCATCCTCGGCTGGCCACCTTGTCCTTCAAAAGCAAGCCCTGCATGTGACCACAGCCCCTTAGGGCATGCAGGGTGAAACTGTAGCCTGGAACCTAAGAGTGGATGACTGCCACTGAAAGAGTCCTCAGGACCTGAGTCCTCAGCGTTTACAAAGTCAGATCTAGCTCCTGGGTTTGACTTTATCTTTTTAGGCCTAAAACTCTTCCTTGAATTTCTGCCAAGACATAATATCCTCCCAATCTGCAAATTTAATCTTTAACAGTGACTGTGGTGCACAAGAGCATGATAGTGATTTATAAAAGTGATGTTGGGCCTTGTTTTTTAATTTAACTGCCGTGTGTATCTGAAGTGTGGGCAATGCCAAGCCATGTGGCCACACGGGAGCTGGCTGGCTGGCATCTGAGCTATGCCAGTGCACCTGGAGCCCCGGGGCAGACGGAGAGGGAGGGCAAGCACCACTCAGCCAGGAGTGCTCAGCTCTCCCCAAAGGGAGAAGATGGGCGTCCTCAGGATGTCTGGAGCCCCAGGAGAAAGAGGAAGAATGAAAGCGGTGCCTGGTTTTCAGAGACTTGTGCTATAGCAGAGGTAACCATTCTTTCCAAAGAACATTTTAAAGCATGGAAGTTTGTCAAATTAGGAAGTCTCTGAAGGGGAGACTGGAGCCCTGGCCGTGATTATGTCTTTGGAGCACTTCTGGCAGCTCTTGGGCAGGAGCACCATGGTGCTGGACCCAGTCATGAGGTCATTGCCCAGGTCAGGACTCCCTTTGAGGCCATGCTCTGGGCCCATAGCTGTTGATGCATCCTGACCAAGGCCCTACCTCAGCCACAGCAGCACTCTGACCTGTGGTCACCACTCAGTTATTCATGTACCTGCCGGCCCTGCTAGACAACACCCCATGGCATTATATAACACTTCTTGAGTGTCTGTGTTTTATCATCTTAGAGACAGGTTTCTCTGTCTTTCCTTTTTCAAAAGTCCTGAGGCTGACAACCAGTGACAGTGACTAAGTGTTCCTCACTGACAGGGCTGGGGCCTGTGGTGGCAGCCTTAGCAAAACTTCAGCCTCTGCCAGTTACCCTGGGGCCAAGATGGCCTTCGGGGGCTCCTAGGGATGTGCCATCCGTTTTCAAAGATGTCAAGCAGCACTTCTTCCTGCAGCGCCTGAGTCACACCTCCTGTCAGGGCCAGACCATGGAAGGTTATTTGCTATTCTGGGAAATTGTTGTAATTTAAGCAATTGTTTTAATAAAATCCTAAGCTGTAATACTTTATCAGGGGCTTTCTCAGTTTGTCACTCAAAGCATCGAGGTAGCCAGGTGAAGCCTGGGCGATGGGCCACCTTTTGAGGGTCTGTGGAGAAAGGGCCCTCTCACTCCGTTTGACTGCCCAGGACTTTGCCACTAACCCCTTGTCTTTGGTGGCAAGAGGATCAGCTCCATCCATTCTCACAACAGCTCCCAAAAAAACAGCTTTGCCTGAGGACTATCCCACTTCCCATACGCCATACTGGGGTCATGAAAAATGCCCTGAATGGGACCAAGTGCCTCGGTTTTTCTCTCTCCAGCCCCTGCCCTCCCAGACTTCAGATCTGAGAACAGGCTGCTAGACCAGGGCATCCTTCAGGCCCTTCTGCTTGTGGAGTTCCCTGTTTCAGGCTTTGGAGAGTGACGGGCATGCAGAGCCACCAGGGCCCTGGCACCATCTGTAGAGCAGTAGAGACTCAGTTCCTGTCATAGGGCTACATAATAACATTTGTTTGATGTTGAGAAGCCATCACTGCCGGGTTTATGTGAGTTTTTGTGTGTTTTCTGTTTTATTTTTTGGTTGAGGCAAGACTCTTATCATGTAGTTCAGGCTCACTTTGAACTCACTATACAGGCCAGGTTGGCCTCAAACTCACTGATATCTTTCTGCCTCAGCCTTTCAAGTGCTGGAATTACAGATGTTTACCACCATGTCTGGCTTGTTTTTCCTTTTCTTTTTTCTTTCTTTCTTTTTTTTAAAAATCTTTTTGAGACAGTCTTGCTGTACAGTTCAGGCCAACCTTGAGCTCACTTTGTAACCCAGGCTAGTTTCAAACTAGCAACTGTCTTCTTGCTTCTTAGCCTCCCAAGTGCTGGGTTTACAAATGTGCACCACTATGTCTGGCTTGTTTTTTCTATTTTTAATTAACAGAAGTCTGTTATTCAAACCAAAACTACTGTAGGATAACTCTCTTCAAGCCACAGTCTAAAACCTGACAGGTGACACAAAGTGGTTATTAGGGCTTCTAGGAGATCTGCCTGCCACATATGTGAGAATATACCTTGGCCTGTATCATACAAGCCAATGAAGAAAATGGCCCATCACAATATTCATGTGTCTCTAATGGTGTGGTGACTGGTGGATCACACACACGATATGGCCCCCTGAGGTCTAGCCGTCTTTGTGTGCGTACACTATGATGTTCACATGAGACCACTCAACACTGTACTTCTCAGAATGTCATTAAATGATACATGATGTATACACATTTTTCCCAGATTTTTTTGAGTTGATTACTAGTTTTTTATGTATTTTGGAAACATGTAAAATTAGAGCATTTTAAATTTTAGCAATATTTGTTAGTTTTAAATATAATTAGTAACTAGACTTATTAGATAAATAATATGAGTTCTTCATTTTTCAAAGAGAAGTTGTTAATTTTAGTAACTGGGAGTAGTCTGATTTCCTTTATAATCAAACCAGAGAAATTGCTTTCTATATACTGGTTCTGTATTTTTTTTTTTTTTTTGTCTACCCCACCCCTCCTCCAGGTAATATTTTTACCTAATCTTTTTTAAAAAGACACCCAGCCCCCAAAAGATGCTCATTCTGGGATCCTAAAGTCTCCTGGAAGCAGGGTTAGAATTAACAATATTGTCTCATATTTTAGTATTGAGTTCAGCTGAATTCTCTGCTGGTGCTTTTAGTTGGTTGTGACCATGCTATAAACACAGGCTACTCGCTGGACCTCCAAGCTTCAGAATGGCATTTGCAACCCCATGGGATCTCCAAGCCAATCATCCAGGCCGCCCTGCCAGTGTTCTTCCTTTGCTGTGGGCCTCGCCTGAGTGGGGAGTGCCTGGCAGCTGCTCCCCAGGGCCGCCTGCCCCAGAAGCCTCCTGTAGAGGAGCGGATGAGGAGCCACCCACGTATAATGAAGAGCTGGCAGCCCAGCTCTGGGTGAAGGTACTGGGAAGATTGCTGCCACTGTGTTTAATCCAATCTTCACCCCTCTGGGGAGGAGAAAGTGGAGTCAGTTGCACATACTTCCTCTCCCTCGGGCAGCCTCCTCTCTAGCAGAGGCCAAGGGTTCCCCTCCCCTTTTCACCCCTCCCAGCCATGCAGGGCTCCCTGGCAGCCTGTCATTACTGCATTACGGCAGGATCCTGCGGCCGGCCGCAGTCCCAGCTCTAATAGGGAGACCGCAGCTCGCTTGCAGGGAGACAGCCCCGGACTCAGAGCGGTGACAGGGCAGCTCAGGGAAATTACAGGGCCGTTTATCAGCGCGGCAAGGATTCTGTCTGACTCAGAGAGGAACCCCCACCGTGTCCTCTCCCGGTTTCCACTTGATGCCCATTTCTCACTGGGGTGGTGGCCTCAGAATAGCACCTGGCACGTTGCTGCTGAGTTGAAATCAAGATACCTCCTGAGAGCTCCGCAGTGGGAGCCGCAAGAGCCCGCCCGGCTCTCTGCTCTGCTAAGCCGCTGAGCCGCGCTGCTCTGCTCAGGCCAGGTGGAGGGAGGCGCCTCTTTCTTTCCCTGGGGCCAGGCGTTCCACCCCCTCTGTATAAAGACAGTTGACAGTGGCTCTTCTCATTGCCTCAAGGGTGTTACCAGGACAACATAAAGAACCGAAGCAAAAAGTACTCTGACTTCTAAGAAAATGGGGGTGTGGATATGTAGCAATATTGCCATCATTCAAAAGACACAGAGGCTGCTGATGCAAAAGAAATCTTTACCACCAGCCATGGGTAGCTGGGGAAACAGCCTACCTGAAGGGCTCAGAGCCCGCCAGGACTGTCCTTAGACAAGCCTGGGTTCAAATCCCTGTTTGGCCACTTCTCAGCCATTGAAAGTTTCCTTATCTGTAAAATGGGAATTTAAGAGGGTTTGGGGGAACTAATCATACTTAGGAAGCCCTAAGTTCAATACCTAAATTTGCGTCACCACCCGGGGATGTTATTCTTTCTTTAAATTCTTTCTTTTGGGGGCAGGAGTACACAAAAAAGAGCCAAGGTGACTGAGAGGATGTCACAGCTCACAGGCAGGAGGCCCACCCACTCCCCCCATGTGGCCCTCATCCCACCTGCACCCAGAGCTTAATGAACCTGCATATGGCCTGTTTGTCCTCACTATTTGCCCAGTGCCAGATGCAAAGCTGGAAAATGATAGATAACTCTGGACTGGGGCTGCCAGAGAAAGGTGTTCCTGTTTTTCACATTAATACCCCTTACTCAGGTCAATGATTTCCTGGAGCTCAGGACAAGAGAGGTGCTGGGCAAGCTACACTTGACTCGGCACATGGAGCTCCTTCCCCCATACCTGTGATACCTGGGCTTTAAAACCCAACTGCAGACACCAGGGAAGCATAGTAGTGACCCAGTTTTCCCTTATCAGGCATAAGGAAGAAGTCCCCGTGGAGCCTTGCCCATTTCCAATATAAATAATGTAATTCCCCTCCCTGCCTGGTTGGGGAGGAAGGGGTAGCCTTTGATCTGAAGGAATTAAGTCAGTAAACAAAAGCAAAAAAGACTGCAGAGGTGTCTTGTGGCAGGCACCTACTGTGCCATTTTCCCTAAGAGAGAGGAGTTAAATTTCCACCAGCTAATGGGGGGCAGCTGAGCCTAGGTCTCCCCAAGTCTCTTTATCCCCAGTTGAGCCCAGGTGATACCTTCCCCAGCCCCCTAGCACATATCCACAGCCAGGCCATGGGTGAAGTCTCCGCCTTCCCCAGGAGCTGCTTTCCCTGGCCTGGGTCCTGTATATTTTCAGGGGAAGATGACATTCAGGAAGTACAGAAGTCTGAGTGTCCTGAGATGCCCAGCTTAGCCCCTGCGCCCCAGGCTGCAGGTGGCTCCTTGCTGGGCAAGGCCCCTGTGGCCAGCAGAGGAGCTCAACTACCTAGCCTGCCCAGGCTTCAGGAAAGCTGGCCACAGGAGGTTCTAGTCCCTCCAGCTTTCTGCTTCTGTTGTGTGGCCTTGAGTAAGTCCTTGCCACTCTCTGAGCTTCTATGCTTGAACTGTGGAGGGTCACAGTTGAGCCAAAAAAACATTGAGGCCCCCTAAGTTCAAACTCCACAGGCTAGTCCCCTCACATGCGATGAAATCAGTGTCACCCTCTGGGGAATCAAAAATGGGTCACTGGCCCAGGATCCCACAGGGGTGGCCCACAGTCTTGACCTAAACTACATGTCATGAACTGAACTACACTGAGGTCCCCTGGGCCCAGGTTAGGGGATCCCTTCCAGTCCCGTTGTTTCTCCTTGTTCCATGCTTCTCTAGTACGTATTTATTGGGCAGGGGCCTTGGTTGCATCAGCCCATGGCTTAATGGGAAAAGCACTAACGCTGGGGGTTGGCATAGCCATTCGGAGCTTTCCTGCCACCTTGTCTCAAGCAGCAAGTCCTAGGTCCTGTTGGCCTAGGCAGAAGATGGGGATAGCATGAGCTGCAGTGTTGGTTGGGCCTGCTGTGACAGTTGCTGTGCCCTGAAACCCACGGGGACCTCCCTTCCTTGCCCGCACCCGATCCCTCCCCCACCCCGCCTTCCAGTCTGAGATCCTGAGTTCCTAAGGCTGAATCTATTAAGTTCTTCATATTAACCAGCAAAGGGGGAAACAACCCTCTTTCATCTTAACCGGAGTGAATTTGCATTAACACCTGGGGAGTTCTGTTTGCCTTGAGAAAGCACATTGCTATTCTGAGCTGCACACGCTGCGGAGTTAGTCGCAGTATCCTATTCTTTTATTAATACGGCTTTTCTCTCCTCCCTCCTCTTTTCCCATGGAAAGGGGAAAGCGGTCGGGGATGCCAGGGCTCCCTACTCCACTGAGGAATATCCTCTGGAAATGCCAAGAAAGGAAAACAGAGAACAACAACTAGGTACAGCAGGCATCTTCCTCTCTGCTTTCCCTCTGGGAGGTCACAGGTCTTGGGGCAGCCCCCAACCCCAGCCCAGTTCCCCTCATACCCAAAGCATTTTTCAAGCACTGCTGTGACCAGTCTGTGCTGGGTGTATGATGGTGAGTCTCGAACCTTACGGCAAACCTTGGACAGGGCAGGGAAAGGAAGGAGATGCCAAGTGGTCAGAGCAGCAGATGAGTCAGGGATGGTACCCATGGGGCTGAGGACCCCAGTGAGGTCTCCATGTGGAAGTCTCAGAATTTCAGGGCTGCCTGAACCTGGCTGCTGCTGCACGTCTGCCCAAGGCCACTGTTCCCAACTCAACAGGGCCAACATGAGTCACTCACATGCAGTATCCAGGCAGGAGCCCATCCATGTGACTTCAGCTGTGTGTGTGTGTGTCCAGAAGATGTCAGGTCTGGGTTGGGTGTGGGTCAAGCCAAGCTTGGTTTGCAGATCTCACGCCTAGAGATCAGGGTTCCAGAGGGAGAGAGAAGAGGTTTGGAGATATAATGAAGGTAAATACTCCGCCTCCCCTGGGAACCCTTTGAGATGGCATGCTTATGTCTTAGGGAAAGTCCCTCTTCCCTCCTTCCAGCCCCCTGTCCAAGATAAGTCAATATGCCAACACCCCAAGACCCTCTCCTACTTCCTACCCATAAGGTGAGGAAGTGGAGTGGGCAGAGGAGGGGTCCCATTTGGAGGTAACAGGGGTATAGCCACCAGGACTGTCAGTGTCAGCCTCATATTCCTCTCCTAAACAGTGGAATCGGTTCAGGGCCCCAAAGGGTCATCCTGGGGTTGAATGAGATCACAGATCTGGGTTCTGAGCCAGCGCCTGCCGCAGCGAGAGTTTATTAAACGAGGCCTGCCGCTGTGTGGTTATAGCTCGTTACTATTAGCTTGTCCTGGATCAGTTATCAAAGGAGACAGCTCAGGGCAGGGAGGGCTGTTGGGCCAGGAGGGTTCTCACATGGCTCTACTTCCTGTTTGTGGACCTGGACAGCTGTGCCCTCTCGACATTCTTTAGTGCTCCCTCCCTGGTGAAGAAAGAGGGCAAATGTGGCCAGCTGGGGGGCAAGCTCTGGGCTCTGGTTGTGGATTCATAGCAGGGCTGGGCTGGTGATTACAGATGTCTCCAAGTAAGAGACAGCTTCAGCCAGCTCAACTCAGCCCCCTTTGGGGACTTGGGTGTCTGGTAGGGTCTGGGGGCACTGGTCCAGCATCAGCATTCCCTGGGCATCTCCAGCTCCTCTGGCAGCCTCCCACCCCCACTTCCTACTGGGCCAGTGCCAGGTGCCTCTGCCGCTCTCTCCAGTGACATTTACCAGCTGGGAAGTGGCTACCCAGACGTGAAATCAGTGTGGCCTGGGGCTAGCGCACTTCATTAGAGCTGGCTGTGCTCCACTGAATAGATCAGCATAGGCCAGCCCCCTCCCCATGTCCCTAGCAACTCCCTGTGGACCCAGCCCTACCCGCCCGGCTCAGGGGAGTAAGCCCCTGTGGTCCTGGTTCCCTATCTGAGTACCAATACTGTGTGCATGGGGAAAGGCTGCAACCTGCTCTGGTCAGGCTCTGAGAAAGATGACAATAATACCAACAGTGACCTGTGTTGGCCTCGCTACACTTGATCTCTCCTTAGTTCCACAGCACTCCCAGGAGGAGGCCTCAATCATTGCACACACCAGGGCCCAGGAAGGAGCAGTGGCTCCTGCTTAGATCCTAACTGGTGGAATCATAGGAGAACGCCAGGAGAGCTCTGTGCAGTTACTCTCATGTGAGACAAAGAGGAAACTGAGGCTAAAGAAAAGCTAAAAAACTCCAAGAGCTGGGATTTGAACCCCATCCTCTGCTGTACCCTGGCTCAGACTTGGAGGAGAATGGCTCAGAGAATGGCCCCCACCATGGAGGTGGGGCCAGTGACCCTCTGAGAGGCCCAACAGTAGGGACAACGCCAGCACCCCAGCCTGGGCTGCCCAGAGGAGAGGTCAGATTCTAAGAGGAATGGTCCCAGGGCAGACCCCCCCACCCTAGCTGAGGAGGAAAAGGCTTGGTGCTCCCTGGTGTGGCTGACAGAACGTGAGTCCGGGGGTTGATGCTGCTCAGCTGGGGGACACTGAGCGAGTCTCTTCACCTCTCTGAGCTCCAGTTTGCTCAGCTGGAAAATGGGGTCACTGATGTCTGCCTTGGATGAGTAAATGAACTAATACCCGTAAATGCTTGCACAGCGCCTGGCAGCAAGCGAGTGCCCATAACTGCCAGGCAGCTCTCGCCACCAGAAAGGATAAGATCCCGTAACACTGGCATTTATCTGGCAGGCCCACACCAGCGACAGAACTCAGACCTGATGCTCCTGTAACCACCTGCATGCCCAGGGACAGCAGGTGGCCTGAGCTTGCTTGTATGGTTCTGCTGTGCCCAACATAGAGCTTGGCACATAGTAGGTCTCCAGTACATTCACTCACTTTTGAGTGAATGAAGGAATCCTGGTTTGTGGAATGACCATCTCGGTGCCAGAGGGTCTTGGCCCACTTGATAGGCTGTCATGCAACTCAGGTACGTAATAGATACAAAAGGTCTTGTTTTTATAATGAAAATGCTGAGGCAGAGGAGGAGGGAGATGGCAACTTCCCAGCAAATGGACATGGGGGCTGGGAGAGATCCAGGTGCACGATGTCCCAAGGCCAGCTGGTCAGGCCAGCTGAGCTGTGATCACTGAAGGCCTGGTCATTACTCAGCCACCCCTCCCCCAGTGTCTCTGGCGAGAGGAGCATCCGTCAAAGTCTCCTTCTCTGTGATGGCCCAGACAATTAGTCCTGCCTCAATCTGCCAGCCTGCCACTCAAAGCCACCACTTCCTCCTCCAACATGCCTGAGGAATGGGGAGGGGGATGACTCCCGAGCTAGCCCATCCCAAATGTCATTTACCTGCCAGGCCCTGTGTCCATTTCTGTGAATCCTTCTCTCCCCAGTGAGAAGACATTGCCATGTCCTCATTTTTTAGAAATGGGATCACAGTGCCCAGAGACTCACCTGGGGTCATGTAAGTGAGTCCCAGAGCCACCATTCAAATAACCAGTTGGTCTGGTCCTGGAGCACCCACCTTTGACCTCTACCACCCTCCAGGCCTCAGTTTCTCCTTTTCACTAGACAGTTGCAGTCTTCTGAAGGTCCCACCCCAAAAAGCACGGCAGAGAGACCACCACCTGCTTGCCTCACAGTGTCCCAGAGACAGGGTGATGGATGAGGATCCCGTGGCGGGCACGTCCGGCTCACCCACACACCCACCAGCCCACTGAAGGGTGATGGATCTGTTCCTCCTCTCCCGTTCCCCAGGGGCACAGCTCCATCTGGTCAGGTGCACTGCCAGGCTGATGGATGGGCCACCCTCACTGCTGCCGCCACCTGCACCCTCGATGCTGTGCTCCAGGGTCAGGAGGGCAGGTTGGTGTCTGCTCATTCAGTCATTCAATAAACACATGAGTATCCAGGCCCTGCTGTGAGCTAGAACATGGCAGTCAGCAAAACAGACTAGGATACTAGTCATGACCCTTCCCAGTGTGACAAATGTGATCAGAAGGCATGTAGAGGGTGGCTGTGAGAGCCAGAGAAGGCCACCTCTGACCAGACTCCAGGGACCAGGCTGCTGGTTCTAAATTAGGTGGATGGAGAAGTTCTTACAAAGTTCTAAATGGTGGCAGGGCAGGGGGTCAGGGGAAGAGGATTTGGGACATTGGAGCCGACAGTGGTCAGTGCCAGACGCTGAGGAATTAGCCCCATTTTTATGTTTTTTGTTTTGTTTCTTTCTTTGTCTCTTTGTAGGGATAGGGATTGAACCCAGGGCTCATACGTGCTCTTCACACATGCTAGGCAAGTCCTCTGCCGCTGAGCTAAACTCCCAACCCTATCAGTCCTGTTTTAAAGATGAGAAAACTGGGGCTGGGGATTTAGCTCAGCAGCATAAGAACCTGCCTTGCAAGCAGGCGGTCGTGAGTTCGATCCCCAGTACTGCTTTAAAAAAAAAAAAAAAAATGAGAAAACTAAGGTTCAGACAAGGACTTGCCCAAGGTCACACAGGGAGGGGGACGCAGAGCCAGCTGCAGGCAAGGTTCTGTAATAACCGTCGGCCCCTTGGACGCCAGAGCCTGGGCTTCTTCCTCCTCTTCAGCCCCGACAGGCCCTGAAGCCTGAGGATGGCCCCCACCAGCCCAGCACCTCCTCATTCACAGAGGCAGCTGTCCCCTCCGTGCCGCCACGGACAGGAGCCAGGCAAGAAATATCACATCATTAAGATGACAAATCCCTTTACTAACTGAACTGGAAGGCCTGCAGCCCTGCCTCAGATCCCCTCCACCTCTCCTCTCCCCGCCCTGGGCTCATCTTCTGTCCTGGACCAGGGGACCAGCAGGAGAGCCTGTGCAGGATATGGCCAGGTGTGGCTGGGACGATCACCTTTGCCCCGAGGTGACCTTGGGTCTCCAGCCCTCTGTGGACGTGCAGTGGCATGTGGGGCCTCATCAGCCCTCCCCAGCAAAGACCTGGGAGGAGTGTAGTGGGGGTCCATTCTATAGGTGAGGAAACTGAGGTTTGGAGAGAAGACCTTCAGATGGGCCACCCTCTCTGCCCCTTGGTCTCGAGCAGGGGGCTACCCCAAGTCTCAGGCATCCTATCCAATTCTGTATACCCTATCCTTGCTCAGAGGAAGAAATCCAAAGCAAGACTCGTGTCTTGGAATATTATCCCCCATCAGGATCTGGCACAGAGCCTGTATTTTTTTAGGGTCAGACCTGCCTCCTACCTTGGTGGGACATCTTCTAATCCTGTGAGGAAGACAGAGCAGGGGTCACTCTCCTGAATTTCCAGGCAGGAACCCAGCAACTTTAGGTAGGTGCTGCCCTCAACTTTCCCATCTGACAGCGGGGGCCTTCCACTAATCCTCTTGACTGAGACTGAGTTTAAGGAGAGCCTGGTAGGTGTCGAGTGAGTGTGCAGGGCCACACGTGTGTGGGACACAGCAGCACACATGCATGTAATGCGAGCATACTTGCTCTGCATGTGCCCTCATGTGTTTGCCTGGCTGGGCACCTGCACTGCCCCAGGCTCAGGTTCTCGTGGCTCAGACCCCTGCATGCATACAGCTGGCACCCAAGCATACACTGCACACACACCCTACCACCAATGCACACATCTGCACTGACAAGCCACCCAGACCTGTCTGAGCACCTCTCTGTCATACGCCGCAACCACCGGAGGCCCTGTGTGGGGTCCAGGTTTCTCTGGAGATCAGGACAGGTGAGCAGAAGGCAGGAGATGCTGCCCAGTCCCACAGGCAGCCCCAGTTCCCAGAATGACCCCCCCTCCCACTTTCTCCAGGCCCAGCCTGCAAGGACACGCTGTCTGCCCGCCCGGTGTCCTGGTCTCCTTGGATGCAGACAGAGCCCACGGAGGCGTCTGGCGCATCTTGACTCGGCCGCAGCAGCTGCACTGGTCCCCCAACCCCCATCCCTGTGGCCAGTACTGTCCTGCCTGTCCTTCCTCACCTGCTGGGCAGCTGTGACTTGCTACCCTTCTGTCTCTAAGGTAGGGAGAAGGCTTCTTTCAGGACTCCCTGTGGAGGGCCTCACAAGACTTTCCCTGACCTCAGGCAGGTCATTGTCACACAAGCTTAGTTTGCCCATCAGGGAAATGGGAAGGAGGACAAACTAGAAACTTTCTAAGATCAAGGTATGTCTGCCGTGTTTTGTCTTACAGGTTGAGGGAAGGAGGGAGGGGATCCACTGAGTCGATCCAGGGAAGAGGAAGGTTTCGGGGACAAGGCTAGCAGGGTTGGCTGGCTAGGAATTGGAGTAGGGTTGAGTGTGCTGATCAGTGAATTCTCCCTGCTATTGACCCGGTAGATGCTTCTTGGCTATTTTGCAAATGAGGAAACTGAGGCCTGGAGGGTTACCGTGAAGGGCCGTGAATTCCTCAGCTCCCTGCACTACCCCACTCCAAGGACCGGAGTTGGGAACCATGCCCAAGACGACTCTTGCCTCCCCACCCTACTCTAGCCAGGGAGAGGACATTCCAGGAAAGGCTTCCTCCAGAGCCGGGAGTCTGCCCACCCCTGCTCACAGCACCTGGCTCTCAGCCCACCCTTAGCTCTGCCCATCCATCTCTGTCACTTCCTGGCAGGGCTGGTGGGCCATGCATTTCCTGGCCATGTGAGGCAGGAAGACCCGGTAGGTAGGCAGGGTGCTGCTGGACTCGGGTGCCACCTGCCTCAGAGCTGAGGGTGGGATTTCAGGCACTATCACCTGCCTATGAAGGAGACCAGAGGCCAGCAGAGGAAGGGCTTCCCTGCGGTCCCAAAGCCCACCCTGTAGGTCGCTGCTTCATGTGTGGGAGCTTGCAGGGGGCAGCTGGAGGCCACAGGGTGACTTGGCTGAAGGGAGTGTAGGTCAGGCTGATGGCTTACAGGCGGAGGGGACCAAGGCAGTACAACTCTGCAACCTTTGGCAGGAGGACAGAGATTTTTATCTCCCCTCCCCCACCTCCCCGAGTAATTTGCTGATGTAGGTCGCTGGGGTGCTGTCTCCTGACTGATCTGCTGAGGGTGTGGGGGTTCAGGTGGGAGTCAGGTCAGCTCTTAGCCCAGGTGTTCCAGCCACCACCCCTGTCCCATGTCAGCCTCTTGCCTTCCTCGACTTGCACATGACCCCCCCACCCCAGGATGTTTCTATAAGGAGCCTCCCTTCATTCAACAATCATGCACAACCCCCCAATTTTTCCCATATGCCAGGAACCTGGTACGGAAAAATCCAGTACCAAACAAAAAAAGTCTGCCATGTAGTACAATGTGGTAAATGCAAACTAGGCAATAAAGCAGGGTGGGAAAGAGGCACAGTTTGGTTTTTGTGTTGTTGTTTGTTTATTTTAAAGATAGAATGGCCAGAGAAGGCCCATTAAGAAGATGTCTTTTGAATAAAAACATGAAAGGGTGAGCCATGAATGTACCTGAGGGTAGAGCATTCCAGGGAGAAGACACAGCAAGGGCAAAGGCCCTGAGGCAGGATGGTGCCACATAGCTCAGATGAGGCAGCCAGAGCAGGAGAGGAGCAAGGCAAGCGGGTTTGCGAGGTGCAGTGAGGGAACAGGTATTGCAGGCTCCTGTGGGGGATTTTGGGTCTTCCTTGGAAAATGGTTGGTGTCACAGAATGGGAAGAAAAGGAGGACCACAACATAGTTTAGGGGAGCGTTTGTGGTATGGTAGGGGTCCAACAGGAGATGCTAGAGGGTCAGTGGGAGGGCCTAGAGGGCCCCTGGGCCAGGCATGTGACAGAGGCCTTCTGTTGGTCTATTTGTCTTCCTTCTCTCCCTTCTTCCTTCTTTCTTTCATTAATTAATCCAGTAAGTATCTACTGAATGCCAAGCACAGTTCCAGCCTCTGTGACATCAGTCTAAAGGATGCTCTATGCTGTTCATCCCCCCACAAGTCTCTTGTGATGTCCTGAGGTATGGGGTAGGGACTCAGCCCCCTTCAACCCCTCTCCAAGTCCTAGAAAGCTGATCTCCTGTGCTCCATGTGGGTACAGGATGGCCCCTGTGTGTGTGCCTGAGAACACAGCACATGTGGGTGATCAGGGCTGATAAGCATGTGCCTCACACAAGTATGAGATCAGCCACAGAATACATGCAAGGATGTCCCCTCCCCTCCTGGGCCTCAATTTCATCCATTTTTGGATGAGAGGACACAGAGATCCTTCCTATTCTAAAATGAAGACACTTTAGGACTGGGGGTGTGGCCCAGTGTTATAGCATAAGTGAGGCCCTGGATTCTATTCCCAGCAGTGCAAAAAAAAATGAGGACACCAGTTACGCTGAATCCTGGGGGTGAGGGCCCGGGGTTGTGGTTGTGGTTTATGCAGGCAGGGATGTTGGACACTGCATAAAGTGAACCCAGAGTGGGGCTGAGCAGAGCCAAGGACCCAGGGAACACAAGGAGAATCTGAATTTGAGGAGTCTCTCTGCCCCTGCTTGCTATTAGGATGGAGTGGGATAAAAAGGTGTCTCTTCTTGTAGCATTCTCCAAAGTCTTCTTCCTCCTGACATGATGGGACCTGAACCTAAGAGGGGCAATGAATAGACCCCGGGCAGGCCTCCTGTGCTTGGCCATCCAGAACCTCAGCCTGCACGGCACTGCTGGAGAACAGGAGGCTCTAGTAGTGACCCAGCCCTAGCCTAGGAAACGGCCCTGCCCTGCATTCCCTGCCCCTGGCCCCACATGGCCCCCCAGTTCACCCCAGCCCCCACAGCTTCTCTAATTACACAGCCATAAAGCACAATCTCTAATGATCCAATTAGTAACACCATTACTGCTCTGTCCAGGATTAAAATTACCAATTAAACTGCTGTCGATTTTATCATCACTTAGGCTCGACAAGACCAGGGCATTGCAGGCCTCAAGGGCCATTACTGGACTCCTGGGCCAGGAGCTGGCCAGGGAAGTAGGCCTGGTTTGGCCCTGGAGGAAGTTCTTCCCTCCACCACCCCTAGTGTTTCAGTCTATGGCCCAGTTCCCCATAAATTTGGTGGCAGTGGGTGGCAAGGGGATCTCCATGCCCAGCCCCTCCCCAAGTGATGCCTCTAGTCTAGACTTCTCCATGTCATTCCCCAAGGACAAAATTCATCCATCCCATTTCCCAGTCTCAGCACCAGGCTAATCTTGGCAGCTGAGTCCTGGGACAAAGGATGGAGTTGCTCACCGGAAAGCCTGGCGCAGCTCCCACTTCTCTTTGCCCCTAACTGTTCCTACCCTTTTCTCTCCCATCATAGCACTCTCTGTAGTCTCAAGGTGCCAACTTCACACAGTGTCCCCCAGAGTGAACGGAGAGTGCCTCTCCAACCAGCAGTCAAAAGTAACCATTGGCCTTCTCTCAAGTCATGAGAAGGGGGCCCCAGTAGTGACCTAAGTGCTTTGTTTTAAAGCAGAGCATACCTTTGAGCATAAAGACAGAACCCAGGGACTCAAGAGTGCTGGCCACTGCTCTGGATGCTGAGCTCCCCTTGCCTGGGGGATTGCAAACAGACTGCACCCGAGCACATGGCTATAGGTTTTCCTGAAACAGAATCTAGAATGTTTGCTCTCATATTCTTTACTTCTTGTCCTGTAGGTGCTTCCAGAAAACAAGAAACGAGGGAGTGGGTGTCCATTTGACTGGAGAGGGCGGGCAGTTGCCCTCTGAAAACTCAGCACTAGGAGATGTGCTGAACACAGGGCTGAAGGCACCTTAAAATACTGCTGACATGTTTGTGCGGTCCTGGACTCTGGGCTCATTGGTTTTACACTTTAGCCTTTCTGTGCTCACCCTGAGAAATAGGGGCCAACAAGTTACCCAGGAGATGACTCTGAAGGATGTGCTTATGCTCACAGGTGGGTGCGGGCACAGAGCCCACCACGAGGGTCTTGACACCCAAGCTTACACACAAGCCCTTCATGTCACACAGAGACATCTGCAGAGGAGGGAGACTGTGGGGCCCCAGGTTCAGTCTGCTCCAGGGATGTTGAGATTCTGCCCAGGAGAGGTGACTTCCCTCAACCCATTACCACAGGCTTGGGGTATCTGGAGATGGGTGCGTTCTAGGAGAGCAGCCATTCCAGGCCATCAGTCCATTTCTCATCAGAGGCAATAGACTGAAGCAGGGACCTAGTGAGCCCAGAGCAATTAGGAGCTGTCTCTCGACTCGCCTCCTGCCAGCTGCCACAGCTGTCACTCAGGAGGTGCCTGAAGCAATGGCCAGGGTTGAAGTACCCATGGCCCCCTCCACTCTATGTAGGGTCCTGATTCCTGGGGCAGCTTCCCAGCCTGAGTTCTGCCAGACTTGGGGTATAGGCTCCCACTTCCCAGAGGACACCAGGATCAGAGATCTGTGTTGTTCCCAAGGCAGGACATCCTTAAGCTCCTCTCACGTCTGCTTAGCCTCAGTTTCCCCTGCCAGGCCCTTTTCCTCTGGAGCACTGGTTTTCAGCCTGGCTGTCCCATGACTTTTAAGAATGTCCCTCTGAGAGACCCCTGTGGGAACAGAGTCACTCAGAGGGACAGGAGCTGTGTCCCTGAATGTGTGTGTGGTCAGCTGGGTTTTTGTAGTTATGGATATCAAACCTGGCCACAAGAGCCAGAAACTCCTCCTGTTCTGTGGCCTTCTCCTCTCTCTTCCAGCTCAGTGACTCCTGGGCTCAGGGATTTCTAGGGGCCAGAAAGGGGCTCAAAAGTTTCAGCCTGAGGAATGTACACCTCATCTGTCACCTCAGCAGACCACTGAAGCAGGCTGTGTGGTGACAGCACCAACTGCATTTTACAGGACAGGAAACTACTAGTGTGGGTGCCACACTCAAGGCACAGAGCTGGTGACAGCAGCCAGGCTTCAGTCCAGTCACCCTGGACTCTGCCTCTAGTGCCCTTTTCTATGCCAAAGTTGCTTCTCAGAGAGGAACAAACTTAAAGACCTGTCCCCTTTGCCCTTACATGGACTCTGTTCCCAGCTTCCCTGTCCATTCCCACCACTATCAGGAGCTGGGCCTCAGATGAGTCAGAGAGGGTGGCCAGAGGAGAGCAGGGAGCAGAGTAGACAGATGCCCCCAGGTTCCAGACTGCACCCTCTCCCGGCCCCACTTGTATCTGCAAGTCTATAAATTCCATTATTCATCAAGTGACTGTGTAAGTTTGCCTGAACAATGAATATTTTATTCACCTCCAGACATTGTCCCCAGCGGGTTCTTGGAACAATATTATTCTCCAGCCAAGGAGCAGAGGCCAGAGCCTCTGCTGTCCCTGAACACTCCCTCCCCACCACCTGTACCTCCCCACCTCCTCCCACCAGCTCAGGCAGGGCTATAATCAATGGCAGACATGACCTTGAACTCAGTGCTAACCCTCCCTCTACTTTGATTTCCTCCTCCAAACAATGGGTTCATTGACTTCCTTGGCAGGCTCATCCTGGCCCTCCACCATTTTACACCCCACCCCCACCCCCCGCTGGGCCCCGGGCTCTGCCGGGAGCTCTCCCTGGTACTGAATGTGGACAGCAAGACGATGCTGGTAACAGAGGCAAAGTCTAGGAGGCGATTCCCCTGATCTTGAGAAGAGAGGGCTCTGCTCCGGTGTTCAGAGGCAAGAACCCTGTTTTCAAGGAGAAGAATTACATTAGTCTTGGGAGGAAGGGGTCTGGCCTCTGGACATGGAGATCCCCAACTTCTCTTCCCTCTCTGCCTGACATTTAGGAAAATTCCCAGCTCTCCTAGTGTCCCCAACTTCCTGAGCCAAGGATCAGTGGGCAAAGTCCATCCAGACCCTTTGGGGAAGTCCTAAGGCCCCATATGTCTCCCAGTGGGCACCCAGGAAGTTTAGTGTGATGGTGGCAGACAGCACCTTCCCCAGGTGGGGGAGTGACAAACATAATTCACACCCTCTGATCACACTATGTACTTCAGATGCCTAGAGGAAAAGCTAAGGTTGCCAGGCTAAAGAGCTATTGGGATTAGCTGGGCATGGTGGCTCATGCCTGTAATCCCAGCATTTGAGAAGCTGAGGTAGGAGGATCGTTGTGAGTTTGAGACCAACCTGGGCTATGAAGTGAGCTCAAAACCAGCCTGAAGTGCACAGCAAGACCCTGTCTCAAAAAGACCAAAGAAAAAGAGCAGCTATTGGGAAAGCAATCATTCATTCATTCTCTCATTCATTAGACAGATGTTCATCTTCCTAAAACCAGCTCGGTGCCATATATGGGGGACCTAAGGCATACAAACTCAGGAAGGAGCTGGCCTCCAGAACTAAGAGCAATCTCATATTTCTCAGCTTTTCTCTACCCTAGCTTCTCCCCACTGGAGTACCCCTGATTGCATAAGAGGCACCCTATTCCATAAACTGAGTAGGATCTTATTGTTCACTCAGTGGGTTGGGTATGCTTTCCATTAAACAAGTAAGTAAGCTGAGGCTCAGAGAATTCACACAGAGAACTCTAGCTTCTGCATGCAGAGCTCTGGTTGCTCAGGTGACTACCTCTCCAACTCCATCCTCCTATCAAAGCTCCCCTCCCAAACCTTTCAGCAGATAGTGTAAAAGCCTCAGCCTCAGGCATACTGCCCAGCCCTATGCCCTTGTTCTGTGAGCAGCAGGCATGAACAACTCCTCATCCCGAGTCCTGGCCTGGCATAGAGGCCTGGCACCTAGAGCTGCCCAGTGAACCTCAGTGTATAGGAGAGGATAGAGGAAGCCAGCAGTGGTCCCCAGGGGCGTCAGGGTTCCAGCGGAACCACAAGAGCAGGGAGAGATTGGTATAGCCCAGAACCTGGTCCATGGAGCCCTTGCCTTGCCTTGGGCTCCAACCTTAGCTCTACCTCATACTGCTGTATGATCTGGTGTGGTCCTTCTGGTTCCCTGAGTGGGCTTATCTTTGCCTATGAAGGCTTCTCCATGCAGAGTTCTGAATGCTCAGAGGATGGGGCATGTGAAGACTCATGTGTGTCTCATGTACTCACCCGGCAGACAGAAGAGGGAACAACAGATGCAGCTCATGGCACGTGGAAGCCTGGTGCTGACTGGCAACTCACCAGTGTCATGGCCTATGGCTCTGCAGTAGGGAAGAGGACACGGACTGACCAAGGGAGTAACAAAGAGGGCCCAAGTGGTGTGGTGCACATAAAAGCTACAGCTTCTAGTGGGCCTTACAGCTTGGAAGAAGCCTCCCCAGGGAGTGTCCTGGTCACAAGAAAGATAGCCTCACCCCTTTGTCACAGGCCAAGGCCAAGGCATGGAGGTCTGTCTCTACAGACACCAATGCCTTCTTAGCACAGATTTGCAGGGCCTGGCCATGCTAATGAAGCCTGCTTGATTTGGGCTTGATTCATTCAGGGGCTGTTTCTGCCCTTTCTTTTGAAAATTGCCCATCTGGGTAGTAAGGTTGGGAGCTGAAGGGGACACACGGGTAGCTTCCCCCTACCCTCATCAAGCAAGGGAGTTACTGGGAGCTGGGTTTTCTGCCAGCTGCTCAGCCTGCTCCAGTGTGCTGTCCCTCAGCTTAACTTCAAACTGGCTGGCCAGGCTGGGTACCCAGCAAATGCCAAAGAGTGAGCTGCTACTGCAGCTCCGCCTCTCAATCAATACTCCATGCTATGATTATTAATTCATATTCCCAAGAAGATTTTCATGCTAATAGGAAACTCCCAAGAGATGCAAGGAGGTGCTGTCAGGCACCGGTCATAGGTTGCATCAGTTCATCCTCACTGTGGCCTGGGAGGCAGCATTAACACCTTCAATTGACAGATGGTAAAACTGAGGCCCTGGCAGGTTAAGGGATGCAACTAAAGTCCCTTGGTAAGGAGGTGGCAAATGCAGGAGCCGGAGTCTTTCTGTCTCACTCCAGGTGCTGTGTTCTTTCTCCCTCACCTTTGCTCTACCAGAAACCTCGAAGGAGCTCAAAGCATTCTGCTGTGTTGGTGGATGGTTAAACAACAGAGCAGGTGGACAAGAGGAGCTTAGGGGTGGGAGCTTTTCCCAGGTCTCTAACACCTCTAGCCTCAGGTTCAAATAGGCAGCCAGCTGGCCTGTAGGCCTAGGGAGACACAGCTGGGGTCTTTTCCTCATGCTCCTTTGTAACCTGTGGATACCACCAAGAGCTACCATCAGAACAGCTACTAAGAAGTGCTGGGGCCAGGCCTGCTTCAGCCCAGCTTGGCTGGGGCTGACATCTCCACAGAGCCCCTCTCTCCCAGTTCACAGATAGGGCTATGATTAATCAGCAACAAAAGCAAAAACAAGCAGAAAAATGTAATCAGCTGGGAAGGGCAGGGCTGGGCAGGGCTGTGGCAATCAGCTTTCCTGCTGGGGCCTTTAGCTGATTGGACCCAGGCACAGTGAGGTGGTTCCAATGGGGGCTCCAGGGATGGGATCCCAAGCCATGGTCAGCCCAGGCCAGAAAGTCACTATCCCCCACAAATCTACATGTACATCTGTGCACCTGCCTCTTCCAACCCAAGGAGCTGCACACTTGCACCTGCTCCCATCTGCCCACAGGCATGTACCCAGAGGCTCATCCCCTCTTCTGCCAGCTCACAACCTTGGCACACACAGGTGGCCATACACACTCATGACACACATTCCCCATGCCCATATGGACCTGAAAGCACATGTACACACACACCCTTGTAGATAAAAGATACACTCACCCACATGCAGCTCCGTCAACCCCCTCTCCCCATAAGCACACTTGTTCTGAGCCTGGCACACACGTTAGGTCTGACCCACAGCCATGTGCACGACAGCCTGGAACACCAGAGCCCACAGTCTCAGGGCTACATCTCTTCCTCGCTGCTCCTGGAGTCAAGAGACAGACGCTGGCTATCCCTCTGCAAGCTGAATGGCCGTGGGAAAGAACGCAAAGTGGGGCCTCACTGTGGGTGTTAAAGTCAGCTGTTGGTGTCAGTCACAGACCTGTATCCAGCTCCTGCCTGTTGCCCCTTTCCCGTGACCTTGGACAACGTCCTTCTCTAAACCTCAGTTTCCCCACCTTGGAGCCTCTCCTGGCACCAGCACCGTGGTACTTCTTGAGAACCCACGCTCCCGGACCAACCTCACCTTTCTGGGTCTCTGGTCCTCAGTTCCCAGCTCTCAGCTCCAGGTTGGAGGGGGGACATAGGGACAGCTGGGTTAAGGGGTGCAGCAAAGGAAGGGCCTCACCCCCAATTCGCCCACTTTGGTCGTGGTGGCTTTGAACGTAGGATTGGGGGAGAAGGGTTATCTGAGGGAGACCCTGGAAAAGGGGGAATCCGGGACTGAAGGTGAGAAGGAGCTCCTGCGGGGCTGGGGCGGCAGCTCAGGGGCCGGCGGCGGGAAGGGGGGGGGGCGCGGAGGGGGCGGGCGGCCGGCGGGCGGGGGAGGCGGGGAGCGCAGCGAGCGCGGCACAGAGCGAGCGAGCGGGCGAGCGAGCAGGAGAGGTGGTGGAGCCGGAGCCGCTGGCCAGGCGGCCGCGCCGGCGAGCGGACGAGCAGGCGCGAGCAGCTCGGAGCGCGCGGGGCACGGAGGAGCGGGCGCGGCGGGCGCAGCGCTGGGCGAGCGCAGAGGAGAGGCCCGAGCGGCGCCGCCCCCGCCGCCCCTGCGGGGCCCCGGCCGGGAGCCCAACGAGGGAGGGGGCGGCATGGCCGGGCCTCCCGGGGCGTAGGGGCGCCCGGCCCCCCACGAGGGGCGCCCCTGCTCCGCCGCCGCCGCCCTCCGCAGCCGCGCGCCCCACCCGCTCCCGCCGCCCCCGGGGCCGCCGGCGGCCGATGAGCCCCGGCCTCAAAGTTTGCGGCGGGCGGGCGCGGAGCCTCCAAGATGCCGTTCCACCCGGTGACGGCGGCGTTGATGTACCGGGGCATCTACACCGTGCCCAACCTGCTGTCGGAGCAGCGCCCGGTGGACATCCCCGAGGACGAGCTGGAGGGTGAGTGCCCGCCGGGACCCCCGCCCGCCCGCCCTCCTACCTGTGCGCCCAGGTGAAGCGCGGGCCGGGGGCGCAGGGGGGCTCTCCGCGGTGCCGGCACCGGGTGGGCGGCTCCAGCGAGCTGTCGCGCCGGAGGCCAGACCTGTGGTGGGGGTCGCCGGCACGGAGGGGCGGCCCAGCCCCTGCCCGCGTGGACCTTGCGCTGCGGAAACTTGCGGGTCCCTGCAGCGGGGTCACGGGGCCGCTAGCCCGCGGCGACTGTGCGGCAGCGCGGCCGGCTGGGCTGGGGGTCCGAGCAGTGTCCCCAGCGCCGGCCCGGCCGGAGCAGCAGCATCCTGGTCCCCTCCGCGGCGCCCGCCCGTAGCTCTGCGCTCGCATTGACATTCCGCTCGTGTCGCTTTAAAAATCCAATCTGCTCGGGCAGCCGGAAAAGGGGAGAGGGTGTCTGCCCTACTCTTGTCCGCTGAGGGCCGCCCCCATCCCCTCTGGGGGCCATGGCCTCTTTCCCGTACCCTTGCAGGGACCCCCAACCCAGCGCGCCGGGAAGGCAGCTTGGGAGGCGGTGGCGACAACAAGTGGCCGGATTGGGCGGCTCAGTCGCGATAGCCAAACCTAGAAGGGAGAAGCACAGAGGCTAGGACCCAAACCTGCCCCCCACCCTGTTCTGTCTCCCTCTCAGACAAGAAAGGGGACAGCAGGCAGTTGGCTAGAAGAGAACAAAACAGGGTGCAGGGTTTGGGGTCCCCAGACAGAGTGTCCTGCAGAACAGCGAGCCCCCTGGGGCCTGCTCAGCTCTTTCTCTGCTGAGCTAGGGGGAGGTGCTCTGGGTTTCCCCTCCCCCAGACCTCCTGGGGCCCCATATGGAGTGGAGTTGGGGGCTCTGGGCTGATGGGAGCCTTGGCCTCTTAGGATCTGCTTGTGTGTTGCGGGGGGAGGGACTGAGATCACCCAGGGAATGGGCCTTTCTGGATACCTTGGGCTAGGGTCTCTGAAATTTGGGAGCTCAGGGCCTGAGGAGGTGCAGCTAGAGTCAGTTAGAGATACCAGCAGGAACCCTGCCGTGGAGGGAGGTTCTTCCTCATCCCCAAGCCTGGGTGGAGGCAGATCTTGGGGGAGTCCGTCTGGATCAGGGGAAGATCCAGAGAGAGGGAGAAGGCAGCTGCCGCCTCACTCACTGCACCACAGGCCAGGAGGCACCTGGTCCTCACCAGCTTCCCCGCAAACCCTCACATGCCAGGAAAGCCTGGAGACTGGGCCTGGGCTCTGATGCCCACAGGACAAATGGAGGGACCCTTGTGCCCCTGACCTGACCTTACCATTTGCTCCCAAAGTCTAGGTCCCGCTTTGCCCGTGCCAAAACCCAGGCTAAGTACTCCCCTCCAGAGCCTGGGGAGAGGAGGAGGCACTATGAGGTGCTAGAGGGCAGGGAATGGGGCGTAGGTCATCTTTTCCCCACTTTCGTTCTTCCTGCTGTGGACCCTCCAAACCTCCTGCAGTTTACTGTTGCAGAAGCCTGTTCTTAGTCACTTGGACAGGGACCAGCATGTCTCCCCAGACTCCAGACAGCTTCCACCTCTTTCCCTTGGTTTGCTTCCAACACCCCCACCATGACCCTGGCACCCTCGTTCCAATCCTCCCTACGTCCCTCCTCTCCTGCTTCCATAGTCCTGGGTTGCACAGAGAGAAGAGGGAGATGCTGAGAGGAGGTTGAGCTGGAGGTTAAGCAGGGCACACGGTGGGCAGCACAGAAACAAGGAGCCCGCAGGCTCCCCTTGGGCAGCCCAGTGGACGTGCTGGCAGGAGCCCAGCGATGTTAGTCACCATCACACTGAACACACTCCCTGCTTCTCTCCTGTCCTCTTCTCCTGGGCCAGCAGAGGGGCCCTGGTGCAGGGAGTGCCTGAAGGACAGGGTCCTCTCTGGGGACATTAGGTGGGTGGCATGGAGCCAAGAGATGTCTCAGTCGCCCCAGCCCATCTGCCAGCCAGTAGGCATCTACATCGAAAGGCGAGAAGTCCTCCATGACTGTCTCCCTTCTTGGATATAGGAACCCCAAAAGCCCTGGCAGGGCCTGGGTGCCTTGCAGTGGCCCTTGAATGCGAGGGCTGGGTGAAGAGTGGCTGTCTCTGACAGATTCCCGTCTGCTTCTCCAGGGCCTGTTAGTTCTCATGCCCTAGGAGAGTCTCGGTAAGACCCAGGCCTTTGCTGGGGAAAGACTCTGTCAGGGAACCACATGTGTCAGGATGAGGGAGTGGGTGGCCTTGGCTGAAGTGCTGTGGACAGTGCGTACCTCCTTGCAGCAGAAGTCCAGGGGGTGGTCAGGAGGTAAGGCAGTGGTGAGGAGGATGAAGAAAGGGGGTGGGGAGCCCAAGGTTAAAATGAGGGACATGGGGTGACCTTGGGCAATCACTTGCCTCTGTGAACCTCAGTTTCCCCAGCTGTAAAAGAGGGAGTTGGTATTGCCCTACCCAGGGATGGTGGGGGTCAAGATGTATTGGAAGTACTCAGCAGAGGATCTGGCACTGGGGATTGGGGGCCCAAATGTTGGCGGCAGGGATATTGACGGTAGAGTACCCCATAGTGGATAAGAGCCTAGAGTACATAAAGCCCATGGGGCAGGGCTGCAGCCAGTGCATGGGTGGCTGGGTTGGAGTGGGGAAACTGGGGGCCAGGACTGAGACCTCTGAGGACCTGTGGTCCTGGGAAGCCATGGACAACATTTGGCAGAGTACAGATGTGGCTGGGTGAAGCTGACCTGGGGCCCACCAGCTCCTATGAGAAAGAGGCAGGGGCTCCTCACATTCTCTGTGCACCCCCTGTCCGGTGTGCACTCACAGCAGAGGCCTCCAGGAGCACTGAGGCTGGTCCTGCGGCATCCGTGAGCTTGAGTGCCTAACGGTGGGAAACAGGGTGGCTCATCCAGAGAGAAAGAAGATAGGCAGGCAGACAACCACCAGGGAAGGTTCTGGGACTGACACTTGGCCTGGCCAGGCCGGTAGTGGACCTTACATTGAGAGTAGCCAAATGGGGGCCTTCTGGCTAGGGGGAGGGCTGGGGGGGTCCCTTCCTGACCCTGATACCTGCAGCCTGAGACCAGCAGACACCTCTGCAGATACCAAAAGCTCAGGGAGGCTGGCGATATGGGGCGCAGGGCCAATGCCGCGGAGAGTGGCTGGCACTGCAGAGAATGGACACTGCCCCTTCCAGTGACCTCCATCCCGTGCCCCCACAACTGCTGCTCTCTGACTGAATGCTGTGTGTCCTTTGGGGCCTGCTGGGGCTCAGATCCTGACACAGATCCACAAGTTGGGCAGGGGATTGAGGGATGTCAGGCTGGAGATGGTGAGTGGGGGACAGTATCAGCCTGAAAACCTGGCTGCCCTGCCAGCCCATTCCCGGGCCAGGCATCTCCATGCCAAGATGTAGCACAGCAGGGTTCCCCTGGCCTCACAGGGCGGAAAGGGATCGAGGCTTTCGGGGAAATGCATCCAGACATGCTGTGCTGATGGCACAGTGACAGGTTTGACACCCACCACCCTTGGGGGCCCTCCAGGAGGGGATAGGAGGCCATGGGGCAGAGTCTCATCACATTTCACAGCTAGGTACCCTAGAGAGAGGGTCAGGTGGTTGCTGAGCATCGAAGTCAGGATTCAGGCCCAGGCCTGAGGCCCCAGTCCTGCCCGTGGGCAACTAGCCTGGTGTCCTGAGCTCACCCAATCCTTGCTCTCCTTCTATCTCTGCCATCTGGGACAATCTGATTTATAGTGTCCTTCGCTGAGCCAGACCTGGCTGAACACTTACATGCTTGATTTTCTTGCTTATCATCCCAGCAAGTCCCATTGTACAGGTGAGCAGACTGCTGCCTAAGGTCACCCAGCCAGGATGGAAGAGACTAGGATTTGAACCTGGATCTATGTGACCAACAAGCAGAAAAGAACTAAACTGGGCCTCTGTGGGCGGAAGGGTATCAGTTGGGACAGGGCTCCCGGACAGAGGTGTAAGTTGGGTGTCCCAGAAAGGGTGGGTGAAGGAATATGTGGATGGGGAGGTGACTGGCTGTGGATTTACCTAGTGGCCTCAAGAGATTAGCGCTGCCTGAGAGATGACCACGGGGCCTGCACAGCTGCCTTAGAGCCTGTCGTCTGCCCGTTTACCCAAAGATTTGCCTGTCTGTCCTCTGTGGTCTCCCCTTCTACCTAGTACCTTTCCTCTGGACTTCTAAGGAAGAGGCTGTAGTTGAGGGGGCCATGGGCCTGATTGTCATTGCCAGCTCCTGCCAGGATAAGGAGCTCTCACTCCTGTCCCCACTGTGCACCAGGACTTTGCCACCTCACCCTGAGAGCTCCCAGAGGGGGAAACCAAGAACTTGGTGTGGGCCCTGAGCCTGGGTCCCCCAAAATCAGCCTTTCAGCTCCATTTCGCTCTTCTGTGGGTGACCTGTAGCCTGAATGGGGACCAGGGCTCTGGGTGCTGAGCAAGGAGACAGGCAGGCTCCTCAGCCTCCCCTCCGGCTTCTGGCTGCTGCAGGGTGGAAAGCAATCGCTTCCTTTGGCTGGGATCCTTTGGGGCTCTGAGTGACGGCTACACAGCAAGTGGTACACCAGCTCTGCTCCGCTCCTTTCTCTTAGTGCTCCAGTGGGTGGGTTCCTCATGTCATTCATTTCTTTCATCATTCATTCAGCAAGTGTTTATGCTTCAGTGACAGCCCTGCTCCAGGTAATTTGGAAAACTATGAACAAGACTCACCGAGTGAGTCTCTGCTCTCCTGGCACTGAGTTCATGAGATAGTGTGGGGGAAAAACAGGCCTGTGGGGACCCAGAGGAGGCCAAGGGCAGCAGGGGGCCTAAGGGCACAGGAACACGCAGCTGTGCACTCTGAGATCTGGGGTTGCATCTGAGTTGGGTACGGGACCGGGGACCGAACAGCATTCTAGGCAAAAGCAACTGCATATTCAAGGGCTGGAGGTGGAGTGGGGCTGGGGTTCACCTAGACTGAGAGAGCCCCTGGGGCTGAAGTTCTCCAGAGCTGCTAGGCCTCTTACATACCTCTGGTCACACGAAGCATGCTGTTTCCTCAGCGGCCCATGAAAATGCTAGGTGGGATTTCTCGGAGTCTGGGATTTGCAGAAACCCTGGGCTTGGTCCAGACCTCCCAGCCCAGCTGCTTCCCTGGGTCCAGGGCCATTGATTAGGGAACCAGGATCTCAGGCCTGGCCTGGGATGGGTCTGGGAGCACAGACAGCTCAAGGACAGTCCAATGTCTACCTCAGTCTACATGTGACTTCAGACACATGTGGATGTGGATGTTGGATGTGGACGGCAAGCGGAGAGAGCCTGATGGGGATCGGGGCCTCTACTCAAGTCACCTTGCTCTGGGCCGTGGTCTGTAGTTGGTTCTTGTCTCCTCTGGAGATAAAAGTGTAGAATCTTGTAAGCAGTTTCAAAACACACAGACGCCTACTATGCCAAGGCCTGGGCAACCTGACCAGCAGCAGTAGCCCTGACCTCTGAGCCAAGCTAACTGTCTAGCCTGGGATGTCTATGCACACACACAAACACACACGTGGGTGCATATGAACCCTGACTCTTGTCTGCAGAAATCCCCACTCAGAGAGCAACAAAGAGATAAAACTAGAGGGCTGAGATCTGTCATCCAAAAAGGAAATACTGTTTGGGGTCAGGATGGGGTTGTATTAATTAAGGGAAACAAAGGTGGAGCAAAGGTGAGAGGCTTGGACCCCCTCAACAGTTCCCAGTTGTGTCTGACATCTTCACCATTGTGCCCATTTTGCTGTGGAGAAAACTGAGGCCACCCAAGAACATAGATAGAGTTGCCTGGTCCCAGGATCCTAGTGAAGTGTGTTGCTTCCCACCTGAGTTACCCAGGTCCTCAGGCCTCAGTCTTCCCCTCCATACAATAGAGAGGTGACCCTTGCATGTGATCCAGCCTGGGACTGTAGGCCCCAAGTGGGGAGGCAGCCCATGCCCAGCTGTGCCCAGCTCTCAGCCCATTAGCTGGAGCTGTTGCTGCTGCTTCACATGCCATTAGTGAATGCTGACCAATGTTAGGGACCTGTGGTGCGGGAAGCCGAGTGGGATGGAGATGAGGGACTGGGAGATGGGGGATGGAAAGAGGGGGGTGGGGAGCCTCCATTCAGCAGCTGTCTCGTTGTGAGCCCAGCGCCCTCCTTACACCCACCACACGGGGTCGTTGTGAGCATGCCAGGAGAGGCTGTGGGAGCCTGGCACTCTGTCACTGCCTCAGGCCAAGTACACCTTTGCCTGTGGCCTAGCCAGACCAGGGTCTCAGAAAGCAGCAGCAGGAAGGCCTCCTGGGACCACCTTTGCCTGCTTTGCGGGATGTGCAGCCTCAGGGCTGAACTCTCAGATCCTGGGGGCATGGGAGAGGGGTGTTGGGGACAGGGCCGAGGCCCCAGCCTGTTCTGCTCCCCCCACAGAAATCCGAGAAGCCTTCAAGGTGTTTGATCGCGATGGCAATGGCTTCATCTCCAAGCAGGAGCTCGGTACAGCCATGCGCTCCCTGGGCTACATGCCCAACGAGGTGGAGCTGGAGGTTATCATCCAGCGGCTGGACATGGACGGTGAGCCCCCTGCTTCAGTTTCCTCACCTGTTACTTGGAACCCCCTTCTGGATGGGGCCAGTTCTGGGGTCAGAGCCACTGAGGCGGAACCCACCCTGGGTTTCTTTAAGCTGCCTCAAAGTCTGTGTTAAGTGTGGCCCCATTTTTTGGCCTGGAGAATTGAGGCCAAAGAGGCTATAACAGCTCCAGCCAGATGTAGAGGTATGACAATCTCAGGCAGTGAAAGGACTTCTCCTTTCACTCTGTAGCCTGAAAAAAAGATTTTTTTTTTGTCTTTTTGAGACAGGGTCTCACTATGCAGTTCAGGCTGGCCTTGAGCTCACTTTGTAGCCCAGGCTGGTCTCGAACTCGCAACGATCCTCCTGCTTCAGCCTCCCGAGTGCTGGGACTACAGGCATGAACCACCACGCCTGGCTCTGTAGTCTGAAAAATTTTAAAGTAAGGAAAAAGTAGCCGAGGATGGAGGTACCTGCTTGTAATCTCTGTACAGAGACTAGGATAGGAAGACCATGAGTTTAAGGCCAACTTAAACTACACAGCAAGATCCTATCTCAAAACAACAGAAAGCTGGCTGTGGTGGTGGGCACACATAACTCACACACTCTAGGAAGCTGAGGCAGGAGGATCACCCACGTTCAAGCCTGGCCTGGGCAATTTAGTTAGACCTTAGTTAGACCTTATCTCAAAATTTAAAATAAAAAGTGACACTAAGCATGGTAGTGCACACCTGTAATCCCAGCACTCAGGAAGTTGAGAGGAAAGGACCACTGTGAGTTCAAGGCCAGCCTGGGATACATAGTGAGACCCTATCTCAAAAACACAATGATAATAATAATAATTACTGGAGACATATCTCAGTGCAGAGGGCCTCTGTTCAATCCCTAGTACCACAAAATAAGTACAAAAAAGTAGGGAGGATATAATAAATGGTTTCACATTCCAGTCCCCATAACTCAAATAAATTCAGTTAGTTATATTTGCCACCTAGCATTTTATTAAGGAAAATTGATAAGGACCAGTGATGCCAAGCCTCTTATGCTTTACCCCACTCACGGTCTCCTCCCCAAGACAACAGTACAGCTTTGTTCCCTGTCTGTATGACAGGATGTCCAGGCTGGCTACATCCTCATCAGCATCAGAGTGCTGGGGAGCCAGGGAGGGCTGAGTGGTGGGAGGGTCTCCCACATGTTGGCCCCAGTGGGGACCCACCTGCTGCTCCCCACCTACACTTTCTCCAGCAAGACTTCATCTAGGGGACTGGTAGGTGGCCATGAAATTGACTCAGGCTGGGAGGGGACATGGTAAGGACAGGCTGAGGTCACATGGTAAGCCCAAGATAGACCAGGACTCCATCTCACCTCCTGTAGGCCTTGGGCTGCCTTCCCAGATAGGTTTCATCCTGACCTACTGATTGGACCTGTGTCTACCTTAGGTGATGGCCAGGTAGACTTTGAGGAGTTTGTGACCCTCCTAGGACCCAAGCTTTCCACCTCGGGGATCCCGGAGAAGTTCCATGGCACTGACTTCGACACTGTCTTCTGGAAGGTATGCCTCGGTTGGGTGGGACTCCGGGTTGTGCGCACCTTGGAGAGGGATCATGGCTGCAAGTAACTAGGCCCACCCTGTAAAGGAGTTACTTTTGTCCCCTGAATGAATACCTCCTAGAAAGCCATGGGCTCCCTGGAAAAGGCAGGCATGGGTCAGGGACTCTCTGGCAAGACGGAGAGAATGGTGTCCAGTGCTTTAGAATTGGGAGGTCTGTCGCTATGCTTGCATGCGTGGCTGCAGGGCGCTGAGCGGGGACTGTGGAGTGGTGGCCAGAACACTACCCATTCCCCGACCCCACCCAAGTGCGACATGCAGAAGCTGACAGTGGATGAGCTGAAGGGGTTGCTGTATGACACCTTCTGTGAGCACTTGTCCATGAAGGACATAGAGAACATCATCATGACCGAGGAAGAGAGCCACCTGGGCACGGCTGAAGAGTGCCCCGTGGATGTGGAGAGTGAGTGACTGGCCCCTGGGACTCCATGGGAGGGCTCGGCTGCCTGAGCAGGGGGACACACTGGGGCATTGCATGGGGAGATGGCAAGGCCTCCCTGCCTGTCTCAAACCCCAGGCCCCTGTGTCCCACATGGTGGAGCCCATGTGCGAAAGTGCTGGCAGCTCCCGATTCCACTGTGTCACTGTCCCCTTCTGTCTCTCTCCATTCCCTGGTGCTCCTGGTGGATGGCTGCAGCCTGCTCCAACCAGCAGATCCGCCAGACGTGTGTGCGGAAGAGTCTGATCTGCGCCTTTGCCATCGCCTTCATCATCAGTGTCATGCTCATCGCAGCCAACCAGGTGCTGCGCAGCGGCATGAAATAGGCACCGCTGGGCCTATCTGTTATATATGGTACCCAGGTTGCTCCACACCCAGTACCACCTGCAGCCCTCCCCCTCTGCCGGCTCCCCAGGCCACCATCCACCATCCACCATCCACCAACCGAGGCATACCTTCCATCAGGGCCTGGATGTCTGGTGACCCCACCTGTCTGACCCACAGGCCTTGCATGGAGCTGTGGTCTGGCGGTGGAGGACCTGGTGGTGGCTCCAAGGACAGCCCTCGGCTCCTTACATCTTGCCTGTGCCCCCATATATAATACTACTCTTCCCACTATCCAGGGACCCCTGGGAAATTAAGGAGGGATTTGTATAGGGACCCCCAAAATCTAGTCCCTGCTGTGGTCTCTATGTCCAGAGAGGGCAGCCATCTGCCTAGGGCCACAGAGCCAACCCCAGTTATGGTCTGTGAGGTTTGGGCAAGGTAAGGATGGCAAGGGACCAAAAACCTCCTCTTGGAAAAGGGCACAAGACTGTGGTCTCCTGGGTTCCTTCCTCTGACTCCAGAGGCCCAAACCCAGCTCTCCCCACACCACATTCACCTGCTGGGGTGCAGCCCACTCATTTCACGGGTGAAAAGCCTGAAGGTCCAAGGGCCGGAGACCTGGCTTCAGGTTCTGCCCCAATACGGATTTTTAGGAAAGGCAGAAGCTCATGGAGAATGGAGCATCTGAGGTGATCTTAAGACCTCTAACCTTCTGGGTCCCCCACCATAGACCCAGTGATCAAGGACCATGTTACCCTCTTCCCCCAGCCCAGAACCTAGAACTAGAATCTGACTAAGCAAGCAGCAGTCCGAGCAGCCTGTGTGACCTCCCACCAGTCAGGGTGCTCCTGTAGCAGGACCTTCAGAGGGCCTCTGGGCCACTGCCTGGGTCAGGAAGCTGGCACACCCCAGTGCCATCAGTGCCAAGAAGTGTGGCCAAGCCACTCTCCTAAGCTCAGAGCCTCCTCTCCTGTCCCCCTCACGACAGTTATCTGCACCTCCAGGCCAGACGCTGAGCTCCTGTCCCAGGTGTGCCATCCTCAGTGCTTGACGCCAGCTCAGCATGGGCAGGCGTGGGGGCCGAGAATTCTGCCAGAGCTGGGATGGGAGGTGGAGTCGTTGGGCACCTGTCATCAGGCCTGGAGCCACTTACTCCCACGTGACAGGCACAGCCACACTGGCATACCCTCTGCCCAGCCGGGCTGAGCCTCCACAGGTCCCTGCAAGCCCCATCACTCTGGAGAGGACCTGTCTCACCCGGGCCCTGTGCGTCCCCTGAACAATGGCTGCAGAAATGGAGCTGAGAATGCCGACAGGAGAAAACACACTCAAACCACCTTGGGGACAAGCTTTCTTTATAAACATCTGGAAGTTTTCCTGCTCATCTTCTCAAGACGTCCCATGAAGGAGGGGAGGATGGAGAATGGGGCTGCAGCTGCTGCTGTGGCTCCTGAGCCCTAGAGCGGTCAATCCCAGTCTCAGGGCTCCGTGGGGCAGAGCAGGAAGGAGCTCGGTCTCTCCAGTGTATACAAGTGTCTTTATTGTGATTGGTGGGACAGTGGCCAGTGGGAGTTAAGCATGGGTAAGGACCTCAGCCCCACTGTACTCTGGGCTGCAGGGGCCAGCCCCCTGGTGGGGGTGCCCGCAGGGAGGGGGGGAGCTCCTGGACTGGCGGCCAGCCTACAGGGTACTGGAAGACGGTGGCTCTGAGAGGTTCGACCCTAGAGAGAAAGAGAAAGGCAGAACATTAAGATGGGCTCACATCGGGGTGCTGCCCAGAACCAACTCCCCTTCCCACCACCCTGGCTATGGGAAGGACTGGCTGCCTGAACCACCCTTCTGGAAGCAGGGCCTTGACCACATGGAGACTCTCAGAGCCAGCATCCTCCCCTCAGGAACTGAGCCCAAGGAAATAGCTGGGTTATAGGCAGAGACTGGGGTATGCAAATGGCCTTGAGAAGAATGCAAATAATTTCAGTGTCCACCTGTGGGGGACTGATTAAACACATATGCACGTCCACAGCGGAGAATGCTATGCAGCCTGTGTAAAAATTAAGGCAAATTTATATGCACTGATAAGGAAAGACATACTATGTGAGTAGGGAGAAGCAGCAGCTTATAAAATAATGTATATAGCATGATACTATTTTTGTTTAAAGATATATAACATATATAAATGCATAAAACCCTGGAAGATACAGCAAAATGTTAACAGTGGTTCTATCTGAGTGGTACAATTATGGGTGGTTTTTTACTTCTTTATACTTTTCAGAAAGTTTTACAAGCACGCAAGCCTTTGAAATCAGAAAAAAAATATGGTCTAAAAATGTTTTAAAAAGCCTCATTTCTCATGCTACTCACTCTCCTTACCATTCACCTCCTTGCAAGCCACCTCCCCTGGAATCAGGGCCTATTTTAAGTGCTTTTCTTGAAAGGCATCATCTGTGCCCAGCCCTGGGCCCACTGCCCTTCGGAAGTGGACTGAGGCCCAGGGAGGCCAGGTCTTTCCCCTCCCTCCCACGCTCCACATTTAGACCCTTTTGGACTTGTCCTCCTCAGCCCACTCTAGGGACACAGTGTCCTTCTCCACTACAAAGTACTCTGAACTCACCTAGGGGCTCATGTCTCTTCCCCCACTGGGCCTGGAGCTCTCAGAAGGTGAAGGGCATGGGTAGGGCAATGGCCTGTCTGTATGCCAGTGTCCAGAGTTGGGCCTGGCACCAAGAGTTCACCCCATACTGCAAGAAGCAAATAGCCACACTGTGAGCTCTCTCCTGGCTAACAGGAAGACTACTTGGGGACAGACATGATGGCCTAGAGAAATTTCAAGAATTCCCATGCAAATCGCATTTTGCAAATGAAGCAACTGGTGTGCAGGGAGTCAGCAATAGGTCAGGTGACACAGTCAGCACAATTCAGACATTGCCACCTGCTCCTTCAGTCCCTTCTGCTGTGGGCACACGCCAGTCCTCCCTCGGCCTGAAGGAAAGGTGAGGACCTGGCAGCTCTGACTTTGTTTGGGGGCCCAGTGGTCAGCCCTCTGTAGAAAGAGGAGGTCTGGACAGCCTCAGACCCCTGAGTGGAGGTGGGATAGGGGTTGGGGGCTGGAGTCAACAGCCTGGAGTTTGCCTTGCTGCATCCACCCAGCTGCCCCTCTCTAGGTCTGATGACAGGACACAGTTGAGGACTTGCAGGAGCCTCCAGGGAGAGGAAAGGGACATCCCCTGCTCAATGGCTTGCTGCCTGCTGGAGAGCACAAAAAGCAGCTCTCAGCATGATTTATGGGCTGGGGAGATTTCATAAACTCCTCTACCACAGAGAAGGTAGGGGGTAGGAGAAGCTCCCCAGTTGCTGGAAGGGGGTGCCCCAGCAGCCAGCCAAACCAGGGCCCTTGATGGAGTCATGGTGACAGCAGGTTCTTCCAGGGAGGTTGTAACCCTGGGGAGCCCCTGCACCTGAGCTTCTGATCCTTCCCCTAGGAAACTGAGTAGATTTCTGGGCAGCTGGGTCCAAGCTCAGCACAGAACCCCTGTCTGCCCTGAGGGCCATGACAAGAGGAAGGTGTTTCCTGAGTCTGCTCATGGATGCTGGTACCTTGCCAAGCCAACCAGCCAGCCTCTGAGCCTCAGAGCCCACACTGGCAGCCCCAAACCTAGGGTCACAGGTGTATGTGGCAGGACCCTGCCCCAGGCTTCTGGCAGGTCCTGACCTCCTTGTCCACAAGGACAGGAATAGCTCCCTGGCTCTTCCCCAGACATACTCCTAACTGAGGAAATAGAGTCTCATGGAGGTGGGGGGGCATGGACAGTAGTGCTGGCCCAGAGAGGGGTGCACAGGGGAGATTAAGAGGGATAAATCCCAATCAGAAGAGCCAACAATGGAAGCAGGGACAAGCACGGTCTGGTCAGGGATTAGTCTGCACGTCTGAGGCCGGCTGCTCCCTCCCGCTACCAGCACCACTGTCTGCTCTTGGCTGATCCCTCAGGGTCAGTCTGTGAAGGGGATGAGCATTTGCTGCACGCTGCGCCTTCAGGGAGTATCTGTGTCCCTGTTTACAAGGAAGGTTGGCCCCGCTCCTGAGGTGGGGGGATCTGCTTGGCCTGTGGAGGCTGATGCCCCAGGTGGGCCAGGAAGCCCCAAAAGGAGGAAACGGGGGCCTCCCCAAATCCCCAGACCAGTTCCTACAAGGGGCCCATAGCATGAACACCTAGATAATAGTCCTCCAGGTAGGGGACTGTGCTCCCCAAAATGTACCCATGCAGTCACAATGTCCTGGGCCCGCCCACACCTGCTTGAGGCTGGGGGAAGGAGCTGAGGCTATAAGGCAAATATCCTAGCTAAAGCTCAGAGGCAAAGTGGGGCTTTGCCAAGCACAGGTGCAGAGACAAGACCACGTAAGCGAATGGAAGACATTGTACACAATGTGCCCCAAATTATAAATAAGCACCTCATCTAAGAAGCTGCCAGGTGTCTACTGTGATTCAGAGGCCAGATACAAGCAATGGGCCATGTAGGTGAGCAGGAAGGCACCCGCAGGCCCTTTTTGCAGCCGGGCTGTGGAGTTGAGGCCCTGCTGAGGTGGGAGATACCTTGGAGGGTGTCAGCAGGGGAGGTCCTGGGTTTCAGAAGCTGGTTGATGCTGTGATATAAAGGGTGAAGCAGGGGAACAGAGGGACCCCTGGGTGCTTGCTGGGTAGACTCTGACCAGTTCTAATCCTCTGGCTAAAGGATCCCTCTGGATCCCTTAGACTAAAGGAACCTGGCTTCAGGTCCTGAATGTCTGATGCTGGCTGGTCCCAAAGAGACCAGCCCATATGACCAAAGTCACATTCTTTCAGACAGGTCCAGGGGAACGGAGGTCACACTCCATTTTTTTTTTTTTAAGCGCTGGGAATTGGACACAGGGTCCTCCATAGGCTAGGGAATCATTCTACCACTGAGCTACACCCCAGCCCATACCCTGACATTTAAGTCATGTTTATACCTTGTACTTTGAAGGTGAGGGCACAAACACTGGGCAAGGGTTTAAAATAAAGGTGAAAGACAAAGTCAACTTCGAAGTTAGTAATCTCTTTGCTGGGACAAGAAACTCAACTTTCACTTGGAGAGCTGAAGTTTGGGAAGCCCTCATCCCACAGACTATGGCCAGGTCCCCTTGGCTGAAGCCAGGCTGCCACCCTGTGAGGCCACAGAAATAAACTGGATCTCAAGTTTCACTACAAGATGGGAAGCGAGGAGGCCCGGGGTAGGCCAACCTGTACAAAGCCACATGTAGCTCAGGAGTCCATCTCCCGCCCCCTTTCCTCCTTTCTTTCCAGTAATGGATGGGGACCCCAGGAGCCCTGGCCTCACTTTTGGCCATGATGTTATGGAGCTATGGAAGCCCCTGCCTGCTTTTGTGCTTCTGTCTTCTAGAGTAAAGTGTGGGTTATGTCCCTCTCCTCCAAAAGGGAGGACATGGGATGGCATGCAGCCCATGCCCCAAGGGAGCCTGACCCAGCCTGACCTTCTATAAGAGCAGAAGGGCCCTTGCCCACTTTCTAGCACCCTGAGTGCTTAGACCCTTCCCCTAGGGAGACAGAGGAACAATGACCTTGTTGTCATATCCCTGTACCATCTGTGCTCTGCTTCTTCCTAAGAGTATATGCACTGCAGAGTTTTACTCCCAGGAGCCTCAGTTTCCCCTTCTGAGGTTACCCTAGAGGGAAGAGTGGGTAACAGGTACCCAGGTTGCTTAGCACAGGGAGTTTGGCCACTACAGCTCAGGCCCCTCCCTCTAGCAATGGACTCAGCAGTGCAGAGTCAAATCTGCTTCACTACCTGCCTCTCCTTTAGCCGCCATGCTCCAATAAGGGGATGAGCTACTAAACAAGGGAAACAGAGAACAGGCACCTTCAGTGTATACCCTCTTTGGCCAGGGACTGGGAACTTAAGAGCTTCCAATGTACCCCATTCTCCAGGAAGCTCTCAGTGTGTTGGGGAAGTACTGGTTTGGGAAGATCACAAAGATCCTCAGCTCCTAAAAAGAACAGGCTGGCTGTAGTCTGCTGTCAGTGCATGCGGGAAGAGGGACCCTGGGCCCTGTACCTGCTGCTTGGGGCTGAGCTCAGCCTCTTGGCTCTCTTCTCCAGCCAGTCTTCCAGATGGCCCTCAGGGAGCTCAGGGGTTTCCAATGGCCACTCTCTGGCCCGCCTTTCCTCTGGGGGGATAAGGAGACAAAGATGAGGGGTACAATCCTACCACCTAGCAGCCCCCCCCCCCGCACACACACACACACACACACACACACACAAAGCAGTAGAAACTGGCAGACCCTGGGCAAGGCCTGCGATGCTGCAATAACTTTCTAAGGGAGACACAAGAGTAGAATGGCTGGCATGTCCCCTCCAGGCTGCCACTTCCTCAGCCCCTCCTACTGTGCCCCGGAACTCTGGGCCTCATTCTGCGTCTCTTCAAAGGGTCACAACACTACCTACCCCTTCAAGCTTGGAGGATCTGGAAATAGGACTCTGTATGTAAAGAACCTAGCTTTCAGAGCGCCCAAATCTGGGGTGCAGGAGACACCATGGGCTTCAGAACAGGGATGGATCTTCAGTTCTGCCATCTGCAAGGTCTTTGACAGCAGGCAAGGCAGTGAGCCTCAGTTTCATCTTATACATTGTCCTACAAAAAATGTTGCCTGAGAATTGAAGACAATGAATGGACAGATGTGAGCAGGTGATTTTGTCAGAAGTTGGTCTGTGAGGGGCCTTGAGCCATTCAAACTCATAGATCAACATTCCCTTGGGGCCAGTCTCTAGGCGAACACAGCACAGGCATCCTCTCACTTCATCGTGTGTGTGTGTTATGTGGTACTGGGGACTGAGTCCAGGGCCTTTGCACTTAACTACATCACCAAACCTTTTTTCAATTATGTTTGCTTTGGGCCCGGTATTTAGCTCAGTGGCACAGCACCTGCCTGGCAAGCGCAAGGTCATGAGTTTGATCCCCAGTACCCAAAAATATATACATACATACATACACACATACCAATTATTTTTAAGACAAGGTCTTGGTTCTAAGGTGCCCAGGCTAGGCTTGCACTTGTGATCCTCCTGCCTCCCAGAGTCCTGAGGTTACAGGTATGCACTGCCATGCCTGGTTCACCTCACCTTCTCAACAATCATGCTTGACAGGTAAGGACACTTTGAGGGCCAGCCACGTGCCAAGGTTGCAGGGGATCTGGCAGTGTCAGAACTGTCCAAACTGCCAGCTCCCTTGGCCTTACCTATTTGTCTCCACTAGACATGGTCTCCAACTCAGGCGCACTGGCCTGTGTTCTCCCCACCATGAGCCAGCCATTCCCCAAGAGTGCATGGCCAGCAGAGCTGGCAATGCTGCCACTGCCAGCACTCACTGGCTGGTCTGCTGAGGCCTTGCCTTTGCTCTGGGAAAGCTCCTGGAAACCCTGCATGGGTGCCAGGGCTGCAGACGCATTGCCATCAGCTCTCCAGGGGAGGGTGCAGCACCCTCAGGGTCTGCCTTGACAGAGGGGATCAAGGCTTATTAGAGGACAAGGGCCAAGGTCAAGCTGCCCACACATGTGCTGGCTGCCCTGAAGCCACTGCAGAGAGAAGACTGGTGGCGGCTCCCTGGGAACCTGGAGTCCACCTCCCACTTGCAGCAGGGCCTACCTGAGGCCTTTGCCTGACGGCAGCTGTGCTCCCTCCACCTGTCCAAGGGGGTACTACAGAAGAGCAGTAAAGACCATCTAAGTGGGAACTTCCTTGTTTTGTTATTGGGAAGTAAGGAGGGAATTTTTCAAAGGCAGACATGCTTTCTACATCTGTAGAAGCTGAACTTTCTCTCCCTGAGTCACCAGGCTGTGAGAATCCAGAGGGCAAGAAGTGTGCTCCTTTCATCCCCCATCCCCATAGCATTGTGAGGGATCCTCCTGGTGCAAAGCAGACTCCTAGTGCCTGTCTGAGTGAATCAGGAGGGAGGGAAGACATTTAGGAGCTGGCTGGTTGGCAGCAGAGCTGGATGGGGCACACCCTCAGCGTTCCTGGGTAGGACACTATATATGGTCACCTCCTGGGGACACAGCCCAGTTCCTGACACTCACCTCAAACTGGGACTCACAGCCCCATCACCCTGGGCAGCCCTTGGCCTACTCTCCATGACAGCTGCCAGTGAGGGAGAGGTGGAGAGGCACAGGCCAGCTTCCCTGGTCTCAGATCCCGCACCCACTCCCTGCACCCCATTCCCACCTCACCCAGAGTCCCTGCTGTGACATACCCTCCACCTGGATGCTCAGCTCCTGTAGGTCTTGCTCCGACATATGGGAAAATCTGCAATTGGAGCCAAAGTCACATTGGCCTGCAAAGAGAAAATGGAGTTATCTGATATTCAGGAACATAGTTACTTGCCAATGTGAGCTGAGGGCACCCAGATAATGGCTCCTAGAGTTTAGAGGCAAGATTTCAGAGCTTAGGGCAGCAACCCTAGTGGAAACACTAGAATCTCTCAGGCCCTGCCCGCCCTCAGCAACTATCATGTCCTGCTCATGCTCCTCCGCGGGAGCCACCAATGCTGAGGACCTAACCTAACCAAAGGTTGCCAGGGCTGGGCAACACCAGCCTCTGAGGGCTGTCTCTTACTCCAGCCCCTCCTCTCTGCCTGCCTTCATGAATTGTGTATGGGTGCCTGTGAGAATCATGTTTCCTTTCTCTACTCCAGGCCACTGCCTATGCTGGGTCCCTACCTGGTGCCTTGCCTGCTCACCTGGCTTACAAGAGCAGCTGGATTGGTGCTCAGAAAGGCCTTGGTGGCAGCTTTGCCAAAGAGGAACCAAAGTCTCAGTGGTTTTTCCAATCTCAGCCAGGAAAACCAAAATGTGTCTTGAAATTACAGGACACTGGTGGTGTCCTAGGCCATATAACACACCAGTGACATATACACATCCAGGCCAAGTCTGTGGGGAAGCCCCTGATGTGCAAGCCTGCTGGCTGCCTTGGAGGCAGCACACCTCCTGAGAGCATGGCTGTTCGCCCTGCTCCCCAGTTCAGCAGCAGTGCCTCTCCCCTCTGCCAACTTCCTCTGCAAACCATGTGAGTCATCATGGCTTTCCTCTGTGCCTTAGCTGCTAGGAAGCTCAGGGCCAAACCCTTGAAGAGCAGTGCACAGAACAAACAGACCCATTTTCTCCTGGCTTGTCTTATTTCTTTCTCCTGCCTTTAATTTCATCTGTCTTTGCTTCTTTCACTTACTTGGGTCTTTGTCTCTCTGAGTTATATTCTTTTTTATGAGCTGAGTACTGAATAGCATCCTTGGCTCTGGTTCTGAACTTTCTCAGCACATAAGACCTGATAGTGTAACAAGCTCTGCAGCCAGGAACGAGGTGACAGGAGGAAGGGCTCCCAGGTTAATTTGTTTTTAAACTTTTTATTTTAGATACACATCATGTAATATTCATCATAGAGAATTGTACCTGTGCATGATATGTGTGGCTGCTTCTTTCTCATTCCCCTCTCTTCCCTTCAACCTCTCTCCCCCTCATTTATAAAAGCTTACTTGGCATTTTTTCCTTCCATTCCTTTTTTTTCTTGCTCCTTCTTTCCATCTCTCCTTCTACCCTTGTTCCCTTTCTCATTCAAACATTTTCTTCCCATTTTCCAATATCTTGGAATTTGGTCCTTGCATTTTGGTCCTTATTTACACTTTTGGTTTTTCTCACCAGAGAAACCATGCAATATTTCAACATGTGTGTCTAATTAACTTCACTTAAGAATATGGTCTCCAGGTGTATCCATTGAGAACTGTCTCAAGATTATCCTTCTTTATGGCAGAGTAGTACTCCACTATAGAAAGAAAACTACATCTTCTTTTTTTTTTTTTTTTTTTATCGGTACCGGGGATCAAACTCACGACCGCCTGCTTGCAAGGCAAGTGCTTATGCTGCTGAGCTAAATCCCCAGCTCTAAACTACATCTTCTTTATCCATTCATCAGCTGACAGGCATTTGGGTTGTTTCCAAGATTTAGCTGTTACAAACTGTGCTGCTATAAACATGGGTATGCATATATCACTGTGATATAATTCTTTTAATTCTTATGGGAAGATACCAAGAAGGGGAATAGCTGGGTAGAACAGAACCTCTAGTTTCAGTGTTTTGAGGAATCTGCACACTGATTTCCATAGTGGTTGCACCAGTCTACACTCCCACCAACAATGCAGAAGGGTTCCTCCTTCCCCACAGCCTCTCTAGCATTTGTTATTGGTTTCTTGATTACCGACATTCTTTGTGGGTTGGCCCTGAGCTTTCTCTCGAATGACCAGTGATGTTAACATTTTTTCATATATTTATTTGCCATTTCTACTTCATCTGAGAAGTGTCTTTCAGATGCCCATTTTTTGATTCACTAGTCCCTGAGTTTACTTAAATCTCCACTGTTTGCTTGTTCTGAATGAATCAGCAAAATCACATCCTAGGGACCTAGGGAGCTGAGTACCAGGCCTCGGGAAGGTGCAAGGCTCAACCCTGGAGAGGCCCTGACTGACCAGTTGGCCCACTACAAAGTGAGTTCAGGATGATGGTAAGGACTAGAGGAGACACATGAGCAAATCCCACACAGGCCGGATAGGGCACTGCTGGCTCCTGAAGGATCAGAGCTGAGCAGAGTACTTTACCTGTCAGCAGGAACTTCCTGCAGGGTCGCTTGTTTTCCTCATCCAGCAAGATGGCAGCCGCATCTGCAAGCGGAAAGAGGGGCTCAGTTCAGATGGCACCAAGGTGGCAGAGGCAAAGGGGCATGAACTTCAGAGGGACAGTCAAAAGGAAGGAAATAGCTCCCCAATCATGGTGTAAAACATAGGGATCTAAGCTACAGGTGACCCCACCTTCCTATTCACCTAGGACCAGGTAAGAATCAGGTTTGAGGTCAGAGATACTTGACCTTGACTGAACGGTGGAGTTACTAGGAGAGTCCTTTTGTTTTGGCTTTGTTTTGTTTTGATCCAGGTTCCATGGGACCTCTGGGGTGACTCCAAGTTCCTTTGAATCTATAGTTACAGTCATACACCTCATAATGACATTCTGAGCAATGATGGTCCCAGAAGATGGTATCACCTAGTGATGTCAGAGCCGTCTCAGTTTATGAAAATACATTCTATGATGTTTGCACAATAATGAAATGACTTAGTAGATGCATTTCTCAGATTGTATTCCGCTCATTAAACTAGCATGACTACATGTCAAAATAAAGGCTTTAAAAAAAAAAATAATGGTGCTCAGGAAGGGCCAATCCCAGCCAAATCCGGAGTTGAGGAATTGCGCCATAGACAAGACTGCAATTCCTGTTCTTTGTTTTATCTCAGGTCACCAGCTTTGGTGCTCAGAGCCAGACCAGTCACTGCCCTGGACAGGACTTCCCAGCAATCCTTCTGCATACTAACCTTAACTTGGGCTTCCTCCTGTTTTTCCTGCCTTTATTCTTGTCATCTAGCTATGGTTTTAAAATGTGTTCACGTTGGGGCTAGGGATATAGCTTAGTGGCACAGGCACCTGCCTGGCAAGAGCAAGGTCTTGAGTTCGATTCCTGATACCAAAAAAAAGTGTTCATCTTGGTAGGTAAGATATCAATGAGTCAAAATCTATGAGTAAGCTGGGTACAATGCTGTACACCTATAGTTTCAGCCACTCAGGGGGTAAGGCTCCATTGCCTGAACTCAGGAATTAGATACTAGTCTAGGCAACATAGACAGACACTTACCTCAAGAAAAAACTATCTGTGAATAAGATACCTGAGCATGACACCCAAATAGAGGCCCTTCTGTCCACACTGGTTGAGGGTAGGCTGGGCTGAACATTTGCCTACTTCCTTTCCTAGAGGTGGCTGGGCTACAGGAAAGATCATAAGTTTCTGAGTCCAAGACACCTGAGCTCAAATTGTAGGTACACAGGACCATAACCAGGGTGCTTAATTTCTCCAGTGGATAGCACACCCCATCGCCCAAGTAAATGGGAGGAAAATTCCTAGCTGGCAGGGGTGCTATGAAAATTTAATAAAATCATGAATGGAGAGTACTTGGTAGAAGAAGCTTGTGGTTTCCAACCCTGGTAGAACCTTAGAATCACCACGAAAGTGACAACGGAATCGGCCTGTGAGACCAGGTGCAGTCTTGGCATCCTATTGCCCAGGCAACGAGGAACAGTCAGGACTACGTGGGTGCCCACAAATGGCAGCAGTTCTTATTTCCTCCTCCCGAACCCACTGTACAGTGCTAACACCCCATTCTGCAGAAGCAAAACTGAGGTTCACACTGAGAAACGACCTGCCCAAGAAAACAAGAAAACACATTTAAGAAGCTGGTAGTCTCTGGCTTGAAGCCTGATGTGTGAGACTTTGAGCCCCTCTTCTTTCCGTGTGGCGGCTGATTTCCTGGAGTTGAATAAATGGCCCATCTCATGGGGATGCCGCCCTCAGGCTTCCAGGAGCTGGAGGAGTTGGGAATTTGCTGGAGTTGCAAGTTGGTTATCAAAGGACTCACTCCAGGGGGCCTGACAGAGCTGGGGGTCGGGGCAGCAAGTAGAGAAGGGCTATCTGTTGGCAAAGGACTTGTGGACTCAGGTTTCCCAACTGGAAATACAGATCCCACAACTTGCCCTGGCTGCCATTCCTGGGAGGAGCAGTCTGGTGGAAGGTATGTCAGTGTCCCCTGAGGCCAGGACCACTGAGGCTGGCACAGAGAGTGAGACAGAGGAGCCTGATAAATGGCTCTGTGTGGGAAGTTCCGTGCCACAGAGTCATTAGCCTCATTAGTCTCTCTTTTTTTTTTTTTTTTTTTTTGGTCTTTTTCATTTTTATTGGTACCGGGGATCGAACTCACGACCACCTGCTTGCAAGGCAGGTGCTTATGCCGCTGAGCTAAACCCCCAGCCCCTGCCTAGCCTCATTAGTCTCAATCCTCCTCATTGCATCTTAAAGGACATGAAGCTGGTACTCGGGAGGCTGAAGGCAGGAGGAACATAGCAAGTTCAAGGCCAGCCTGAACCATGAAGCATGACCCTATCTCAAAAAAAATAAAAAAATAAAAAAGAAAGGAAGGAAGGAAAAACATGGAGAACTGAAAGAAAACAACAGAAATGGCTTTTGTAAATGGAAAGGGACCAAGAAATGGAAGGAGCAGAGAGAATGGGAGGGGTAGGGAACAAAAAAGAATTAACAGGTGTTATGTACATGTACCAATGCCTCATGATAAATGTAATTATTATGTAGTGCAAACCTGTACTAATGAACAAATAATCAAAAAGTACATGGACTTCCTGGACCCACCCCTCTCAGATTCTGCTTTAACTTGTTGGAGCAGCACAGCAGAACTGTTAAAAGTTCATCAGTGCCTCTGACATACTCTTCGGACTGAGAAGCCCCGACCCAGGCCCTGCCCTAAGAGAGCGCTGCTCCTCTGCTTGGTGTTCAAGGCTCCTTGTGATCTGCTCTGTCAGTTCTTCTTCATCTCCCAAAATTAACAATGGCCCCAGCATCTTGTGTTTGCTCAGTCATTTAGACATTCATCTTCCAAATGCTCACTGAACATGTGTGCCAGGCACTGTGCCAGGATGAGGATTCAAGTGGAGAACAAGTCAGAGCTCGTCCTTCCTTCCAGTCCAGCAGCTGCAATAATCCACGTGGTATAAATGGGACAAACACTGAACATGAAGCCAAATGTGTGACCTGGCTAGGGGACAGGGAGGGCATCCCAAGGATTTGCTGTTTGAGTCTAAATCTGAGATGGGGGTTACTGATTTGGTATAGGGAAGAGAACAGGATTCGCATGTCTGGAGAGAGGACAGCACATGCAGTGACCAGTGTGGCCAGGGCTAGGAGGGAGAGGTCAAGAAGCAGAAACATAGGTAGCACAGGGTCTCACTGTGCCCAGAGCACAGTGTCATAACTAAATATGAGTCACTTAGGAGAAAGGCCCTGTCCCATCCATCTTTGATTCTTCAGAGCCCATCTGAGAGCTAAGGACAGGCTAAGTATTCACCGGGCACTGGTTGAATAAATGAACCATGGTGTGATACTTTTGAAGACACAGGCATTGTTCTCCTCAAGATCAGAGTACAGGCTCCAGGAGTCCCACAACTAAGTGCTCACCTCTGAACATGTCGTACCACATCTTCTTGGCCTTGAGGTGCTGTAGCCCATTCAGGTGCTTCTTTCGGTTGTGGAGGTTATCCTGGAAGGAGCGGTCACAGTAGTCACAGAAGTATCGCTTCCCCATGCTCACCTGTGCTGCAGCTGCCTAGGGAACCATGGGCACTTGGTCAGATCTTCAGAGAAAAAGCTGTAAGCATGCCTCTAATCCCAGTACTTTAGGAGGCTGAAACAGGAGGATCACTACAAGTCCAAGGCCAGCCTCGGCTACATATCAAGTTCAAGGACAGCATGAACAACATAGTGGGACTCTGTCTCAAAAAAACAAAAAAGCAGAACCTCAAGTTGGGCATGGTGGCACATACCAGTAATCCTAGCATTCTAGAGGTTGGGGCAGGTTGAGGTTGAGGTTGAGGCAAGAGGATCACGAATTCTGGGGAACTTAATTAATTTAGTCTCAAAATAAAAACTAAAGGGCTGGGGATATAGCTCAGCGTGAAGGATCCAGGTAAAATTCCCAGGACTGCAAAAATAAACAAAGCAGAACAAAAGAGAACCTGAGTGGGTACGCCTGGGCTTTGGTATTTTTTTTAAAGCTTCCAGGTACCTGTGTCCAGGCTGGGGGACCACCATTTTACACCCTCTGGCCAGCCTCTCTTCCCTTTCCACAATCCTGGTCTGTGACCTCCTTACTCCTGATTCTCTCCATGCAGGCCACATTGCCTCCACTGGGCTCCTCACATATGCTAGGCACATGGTCACCTCCTAGTGCTTGCACTTGCTGTCCCCTGAACTCGGATGCTCTCTCCCAGGCACCTGCCACAGCTGCACTCAGTAGCATTTGAGCAAAGATTGAAGGACTTTCTCAATAATCTACCATGACCACTTTACTGTGTTTACAATCACAGAACCCTTCCCTTAGCTTTCCCTACTGCTTGATTTATTTTCCTCTGAAGTAATAAAGTACTTGTTATGTGTATTGTCTTTCTCCCCTAGCAAAAAATATAAATCCAGGAAGGCAGGCATACTTTTGCTTTGTTTAGGGCTGGAGGCCCAGCACCTAAAATGACACTTGATACAGAGTAGGCAATCAAGCATTGTGGAATAAACGAATTCCCATTTTCCCTTGAGACACTGGGGTGCAGAAAAAGGAAGAGATTTGCCTAAGGTCACACAGCTGGCAAGCAGAACATAAACACAGCTTCCCTAAAATCACATTGCCAGGTGTCTTCTCGTCCACAGCCAGCTCAAAGCTTAGGGAAGCTGAGGGCTCAGGCAGCAGGTGTTAACAGCTTCCCAAACAGATTACTGAATTCTTGGGTGACAAGTCCCCAGCCAGTCTTGGAGGAAATGAGAACATTACCATTTCAGACCCCTCAGCCATGGTGAGCACAGCCAGCACTCCTTTCTCAGTTCTGCTGCCCATGGTGGGAAGTTATTCTATATCTCTCTCTTTTTTTTTTTTTATCAGTACCGGGGATCAAACTCACGATCAGGCGCTTGCAAAGCAGGTGCTTATACCTGCTGAGCTAAATCCCCAGCCCCAGTTATTCTATATCTCTTATAGCCAGCCCCGGGTCCTCTAGTTTGGTACCACATGATCAGAGGAGGAATGGGTCCATTGAGGGACATGCGAAGGCTGAGGCCAGCCCAGCCCTTTACCCTTTGGTCTGGTTTCTACTTCACAGAGAAGGCTCTTAAGGTGCAGAGGAGGACAGGAAATGACTTCCCTAACAGGCATAGACTCCCAGGACCTGGCAAATAAGGATGAAGCTAGGACCTGATTCACAGAGCAGACGGATGGGGGAATGTATCTTGGGAGAGAGAGACTGGGAAGAAATGCGGAGACAAACAAGCATCTTGGATAGCCTAGGCAGCCAAGCAGGTTGATGGAGAAAGTCACTCCTGCGGCAGACAGGGACGGCAGCCATTAAGTCAGGGGCTGTAATGGGATCAGGAACAGCCAGTCATTCCAAATGAAAACGTATAAAACCTCTCTTTCCCCATTACTGCTGAGAAACCACATCTCAGACATGTGGACTTGATATATTAAATTAGGCAGCTCTAATATACCCCGTCTTGCCAATAAACTTATAGGAATTGGATTGAAATTGTAAGAGATGAACGTTTAACGGCTGAGTGCTTAACCAAGCCATTCACGAAGCTTGAAGCTCCAAGGAGCTGCTGGCTCTGGAGAGTAATGGGGAAAGGAGGGGTGGAGGAGGGTGTCCCTGTGGGAGGCTGTCACGGAACAGTGGCTCTGCAGCAGGCTGAGCTGGACCAAACCACACAGGACACTGAGAAGCTAGCTGTGTGACCTTGGACAAGTCACTGTCCTGCTCTAGGCTATTTTTACAATGTTTTTTTTTAGTTTGTTGAGACAGGGTCTTTCTATGTAGCTCAGGTTTGCCTTGAACTGACTATATAGACCAGGTGACCTTGGACTCACAGCAATACTCCTGCCTTAGTCTCTTGAGTACTGAGATTACAGATGTACACCACCATGCCTGGCTCTCTAGGCCTCTATTTCACTGTGGGAATATGAGGCAGTAGTTGTGAATGATCATCTAATTTTGAGGGGTGTGGTACAAAGAAGTTTGCTAATGCAGACAGATTATTAAGGCTGAGAGTGTAGCTCAGTAGTATAGAACTTATCTAGCATACACAAAATCCTTGCTTTGATCCCTAGCATCTGATAATAATGGAAATTGATGGGGATAGTAGCACATGTCTGGAATCTGCAATTTGGGGGACTGAGGCAGAAGGGTCACAAGGTCAAGGCTAGGTTGGGCAACTTAGTTGTTTTTTTTTTTTTTTTTTTGGTACTGGGGACTGAACTCACCACCTTGCACTTGCCAGGTAGGCACACTGCTGAGCTAAATCCCCAGCCCTACTTAGTGAGTTCTTATCTCGACATAAAAAGCAAGAGAAAAAAAGGCTGAGGATATAACTCAACACTCCCTGGGCTTCAGCCCTGATATCACAAAACAGTGTTTTGGCCACTAATAAATTATGCCTGGCATCATACAAATGCTCAATAAACCTATTACACAGCAGCACTAGATTAAGAACTTTATAGGCATTGTTTCATGTAATCCTCAAGACAACCTGTCGGGTAGGGTCTATGACACTTTTTTCATATGAGGGTGCTGAGGCTCCAAGAAGTGACTTGGTCAAGACTGTGCCACTAGAAGACAACGGAGCTGGGCTTAGAATCCAGGCAGCAAGGCCCACACTGTTAATCTCTCACCAAGGAAACCTCCAACAGGGGCTGAGGATTTAGCTCAGTGGCATAAGCACCTGCCTTGCAAGCACGTGGTCATGATTTTGATCCCTGGTAACAGTAAAAAAAAAAGAAACCTCCAACAAATCTCACTGATAGCAGCATCCTTTATTACTTATCACACCCTGAAACCATGCTGGTCCCTTTGAACCTCAAGAGGTATGTGTTACAGTCCCACTTACGAATAAGGAAACTGAGGCTCAGAGCAGTGCTGTGAGGCACCCCATGTCACATGTGATGGGAGGGTAGAACAGGTCTCAGAGTAGGAAAGCCTGTTCATACCACCATACAAACTGTCTGAAACACCAACTCACCAGACAATTGAGGCCAGATGCCCCTCTGTCTGCCTGCTCAGTCACATTATCAACAAATGATGAGCCCCTTAGGACTGGCCACGTGTGTATGTATACTCTCCTCTTGCACATACACATATATGGAGGCAAACCAGTCAATGTTTCTGTTTATGTCCTCACTTTGTCAGCCTCTGCCGAGGGCCACAGCTGCCCATGCACTTTTTCTGTCCATCACTCAGCTGGCCCCTGGGAAAGGTTTGGTCAACTTAGAGCACGCTACAGGAGCCCACATTCTAGAGAGTTTGGTTGCATCATTAAGAGTGTGGGTCTTGCTGCTTACACTTTAAGCTCATCTTGGCTGCTTTTTAGTGTCATAACTTTAACTCTGCCAGGTGAGGATATGGCTGTCACTCTCTCTGAGTGACAGTTTCCCTATGTGTGAAGCAGACCAGGTGATGCCTAAGGGCCTCTGCAGCCCTAATATTCAGTGGTCATGAGAGATGCCCAGCATGGTGCCTTCTACCCACCCCCACTACTTCTGGATACAGAACTGAGCACCAGGCCCTGACACCACCTAATCTACATGTCTGGGGGAAAAGGAGTTAAGAGTTGAACTCAGGAGCTGGGCATGGTGGCATACACCTGTAATCCCGGCCTTCAGAACACTGAGGCAAGAGGATTGCTGTGAGTTCAGGCCTCAAGAAAACAAACAACAACAATAACAGGAAAAAAAAGTTTAAAAAAAGGGTTGAACTCAGGGGTGAAAGTCAGGGTTTAAACCCAAGTGCTTCTGCTTTTAAGCCAATGATCTTGGCCATTAATTAACTTCTGGCCTGTTTCTTGCTACAAAATCTGGGATAGGATCAGTACACCCCTCATGGAGTTGCTGTGGGAGTCAGGTCATCCATGCACACACTTTACGCATAGCCAGGCCCTTAGGAGGCTCTCAAGAAACACGGGGCCTCTTCACCATCATGATTATCAGCCTCTGGAAAAGAGGCTCAAACAAGAAACAGGCTGTCAGTGTTCAGGTGACTGCTAGGATCAATGGTCCACATTAGAGATCAGGAAAGTGAGGCCTGTGGGCTGGGGATTTAGCTCAGTGGCTTAAGCGCCTGCCTGGCAAATGTGAGATCATGAGTTCAATCCCCGGCACCAAAAAAAAAAAAAAAAAAAAAAAAAAATTACAGGAAAGTGAGGCCAAGAGAGAAGAAGTGAGCTGTGACACTGAGGCCTCAGCCCCCATGATGGGCCCTACAGAGCCAGGGGATGGCATCAGGGGTCACTTTACAGCCTGCCTCCACAGGCAGGTGCCTAAAGCCCCATTGTAGGCAGGAGCTGGCCTTTGGGAAGGTAACTTCCCCAGGTGTGACCTTCTAGGGCTCTCGACCCAACTGCCTATCACTGAGCACACATTAAGAGAGTGCAGCGTGCAGAGCCCTCTAGACAGATATAGTATTTTGCAGATACGTCTTGGCAGACAGAATGTTGGCTAGATTTCAGCTCCTCAGCCAGGTGTCCTTGGACAGGCCACAACCTGCACCCTCACACTCAATACCCCTAACTCGTGTG